ATGTTTTTGTTTTGTTTCCAGAGCCCTGTGAAAAGAAATCCATAGGGAGATTATATTGTTTCAGAAATCATATAATAAAACTGTTTTGAAATGCTGTGACCCGATACAAATCAGACCACATAGATTGTACAAAAACACAGGCGGCTAATGCAAAAAAACCATTATGTATAATGGCCCCTAAAATTATTGTTCATTCTGTCATTTATTGAAGGATAAGTCGATGTAGTAATTATCTTGACAGACCTAGAGGTAATGGAGGAGTGGGGGGTGGAGCTCTTGTCGTTTCTGCTCTCTAGTGAGAATCTACCGCCCTGAGCCCCTGGGACCCGCCTCCACCACAATTTTCTCCTGCTCTGACAAACCGGCTGCTATATAGTGCACTTACAGCATTTTAGTCCTCAGTCATTAGTCATTTCATTCAGCTTCTTTATTTTTTTATTCATGTCTTAATGAAATGTACCCATGATGACGTAGTGACCATTGTTTCACTCCAAAGGCTTAACGGTCCATTCTCAAAGTTGGAAGTGAGTAGAATTGATGTTGTATTCAGTCGTTGGTTCAATCAAAATTGAGCTCAATCCACCAAAGGTTAATACGTTTTCATTCATTAAATTTTATGTAATTAAAAATAAATATAGAATATTTGACCTTGTAAATGACCCAGTGGCTGTATGAGTGGTCAGCGCGGTGCCTTTACTTTCCATCCCAGTGGTCCTTGGATGCAGAAGGATCAACTGTTTGGAAGGTTTTCTCTGCTGTGGGACCCTCTCACCAGAAAAGCTGCAAACAATTGGTCCCGGAGCTCTGTAGACACAACCGTGATCAAAAGTTAAGGGACCATGCTCTTACAGCCACTACAAGACTGCTAAAGTTAAATACGCATAAGTAGAAACTTAAAAGTTGCATAATGCATGTTTAAAAACATTATACCTGTTATTAACATCTAGTTACCTCCATAAAATACACACCCAGTGTGGTTTTTAGCTAATTCCATACTAATACTAAGATTTAGAGAAAAAACAGTTGCCCCGCTCCTCTCACTGAACAATCCATTGTTGTCTATTGGTTAATTCAAATCATCTGCAAATCATAAGAAAATACAATTAATTTAAAGCATTGTTTTTTGTTTTTTTAAAGACAAGCAAGTTAGTTCCTAACTTTTATTCTTAATACATTATACATGTTCTCATGTCTCAACAAAAATAGTTCAAATTAAAATGTTGTGAACAAATCAGATCAGTAGACTGACGCTTTGGGCTGAGACCTGAGTGAGGTTGGTCCTTTTCTATTTCATTTTTCTGTCTGAAGAAGCTGATCTAAAGATGTGACTGAGGCAAAACATACATACATACATACATACATGTAAGAACTATTGTTTGTGCATTTATCAAACTGTTGAGAGCAAGGAGATATTATATTTGGGTTAGTTGGATTCCTTAGCTTTAATGTTCAAATGTTTTTGAATAGAAATGAAAATGTATGTAGTGTCCACTATAATCTAAAGAACACATTTTAAGTACAGCTAGTGTTTTTCTATAAAGGTTAAACAAAACTGCAGAGGAGTTTGATGCCTAATTTATGCTCAAACCTTATGATTATATTCCACGCTTTGAATCTCTGAACTCAGAAATGCTGTAATATAAAAGTGAGACTGGCTGCACTTTTGTGATCTAATAGTTAAATATAAACCCTTCGCTCTCATAAAATCCGCCCTTGGTAAAAGTGGCATCTGGCATACGGACCGTCTGCAGGATGCCTCTGTGAACTCTCCTGGCCCCACACGTCATACAGGTCAGCGCCCCGTTGCGATGCGCGATGTAGATCTAATGCATCACAGGAGAAGGGCTCACCAGAGGGAAACCACTGCAGCGTGGGCCAAGGACAACTGGAGGACATGGCGCCAGGGCGGGCAGGAAAGTGCGGCCCGACATGTGCTGGGTCAAACAGGAAGTGCTAACTCAGTTTCCTCTGTTTCTGAGCGCAAAGGGCCAAGGGGTCAAGCATACAGAAATACAGTAAAGTTCATTCACTGCATTACTTTAGCTTTTATTGTTTTCTCAAGCCTAATGCTTTTTCAATTGGAGTTTAATTTCCCTGAGGTCCACAAGGAAATGAGGCCCAGAGCAAAATCAATCACAAAACTTGAACTATTGACAATTGCAAAACAAGGAATAACCTGAAACATTTTTATATGAAAAAAGAATGCTTTATCTTTTGGGTAATTAGATGGTTTGTCACAAGTTGACAATGGATTAAAGCCTGGTAGGAAACTGCTATGATAGATCTGTTTTAAATGTGTGGTTTTTAAATTAAATCTAGAGGATTTTAATGTCCTTAATCTACCTTGTAAAAAGTATACATTGGTACATTTCTGTGTATTCATCTTTGCCTGACTATGCCTAGTTTTTACATAATGTATTAACAGTGGTAATCCTAGTGACATAAATGGTTTAGAGATGTCAAATGTGTATTGTTTTACATGTTACCCTTTTAAAGTTCTTCAAACACATGTAATCAAGACTTACTCAGTTTAGATTGATTTTTGATTAAATGGTTTCTTGAAATGTAACATCTCCACATGTTGTAATATTAATGAAGTGCATATAAAAGTTTCCGCTGGATTGGTGCCACTATTGATCGCAGCCGGAGCAAAGTGTTGGACTTAATGCATCCCTCAGGAAATGGTGAGAAAGAGTTGGCAACTGCCTCTTGTGTTTATCAGCCTAAATGGAATCAAAAAGTAATTTGATGTGAGAGATTTTGAGGTTGAAAAAAAAAAAATCTGAACTATTTGTTGTAATTTTATCTTGAAAGACAAATTCAAAAGGTTCAAGTATCTTTATCACCCCCGACGAGCAATTTGGTTGCAGCAAAGGAAACAATAGAATTACAGTGATCTGTGATGGAAATGTATACGCTTTAATGTTATGAACAAATGACTTCTGTCCTTGAGTAAACCTGAAACAGACATGCTAATAACAGTTAAACCATAATGGACTTTAGTCTTTAGTATGCAGGAGACCAACTGTGTCTCACCTTTGGCTCAAAGATGATTTACATACTGCGAGTGTGACCAAAAACTACATTGCTTTGATTGATATGTACGAATCTTTGTGCGTACAGTCTCTTGGAGCAGAAAAACAAACAAGGAATTCCTTTTTACTTCAACCTCATCAAGGAAATGGAGCATTATGACGAATATATGCAGTAGTAGGAGATATTCATTTTTACCACAACAACAATATATCCATCCATTCATTTTCTTCCCCTTAATCCATTTCTGGGTCAGGGGGGTGACAGTCAGAGCTACACCCAGTACACATAGGACCAGTCCCTCACTGATCCTCCTGCAGGTGGTGAGTCCACAGGAGCTTAGATCTTTCAGTGGGGACTTCAGGCAACGTGGGGTTAAGTGTCTTGCTCAAGGACACAACGGCAGCATTCATCAATGGGAGTCGTGAAGTAGGTTTTTTTTTGTGGGCTCGATCCCACAACCTTCAGGCTCAAAGGCCAATGCTCTACCAACTGAGCCACTGTCGCCCCACTCAAATGTCTGCTAAGTGCATATTGGGATTACCACTATGAACAATACATGTATCTGTTACATAACCTCTGAATCTGAATGTAATTTTTGGAGATGTAATCAACAGCCACCACATGAAAAACTGAAAGGCCAGTGGATGGAAACTGCCCAGGTGAGTGAGGTCATGTAACAGAACGTGCTCCAAATGAAATTAGCTCGGTCCTTTCGCCGCGTAGACCCTCAAGGTCACTGATTCTGCTGATGCATTTTTCCCTTTTCTCCAGAGTGGGACCAGAGAGAAATGAGGGGTTCGCAGTGCGCCCCCCCCACCCCACCCATTCTCTCCATTATCATTGTGGTCCCCCCTGCCAAAGGAACGGAGCATTTGCCCGTTAAATTAGGCGTTGAAAGGGGCTGCGGCTGTTTCCGTCCTCAGAGTAGCGCCAGAAACTCTGCTGCTGACGTGTGCCGCGGAGATGGATTGGCAAAGGTGTCCTGATTTCCCGTGTGACTATGTAATTGTGTTAAAATGGAGGAAGGAACCAAAGAGCCATCATCCAGAGGCCCACTCTTACCGACAGCTTGCCACTCTTCTTCCTGCTGCAATTTAATGTAATGAAAGAATTGACTTCAAAACAATATTACAGAGGTAATGGTTATCAATCAACATTTAAATGTGTGGCACCTTAGTGTACATGCAATCAAAATGAGAATCATATTTAACATGTCAAACTAAACTGCATTGTTCTCGCTGCTTACTGATTTCTTATAATATAAATGTAACTGCTTTCCAGCTTCCTTTTTTAAGATGAAGCCTTTTCATGATCCTAGTGCAGCTGGAGACGCTTTAACTTGAGCATTGTAGCGTCGCTGTCGTAATGCAGTGTTGGTTTGTCCCGGGGCAGATGGTGGGGTGTTGCCTCCTGCCGTCGGTCAAGTTGCTGTGTCAAACCTCCTCTCAATGATCCCGACTAAAGAAGCGCATTGTGGCTGTGTGAGGTCATTGTGATGCATCTGTTGAAAGAGACTTGGAATCATTAGTTACACATGTATCAATTAGTGACACAAGTGACACAGGTAAAGAAGAAAAATCTTACACAAACATTTTCAAAGGCAAGCACTGGTTAGATCCACCTGACTTGTCCTAAATTTTCCCTGAATATTCTCCAGCTTTTATTAATGTGAGGATATGGAATTTTCAGTTTTATATCATGTTGAGACAGATACTATACAGTACTAGATAGAAGTACAATACACATCTATACACCACAAAGTATGTTTTTTTCCCTCGCCAATATCAAGATTTTAGTTTTTCTGTAATAAAATCTACAGAACCATGTGTAAATAAAGGATTTTATATTAATTCCAAAAACACCTTTTCCCTCCCTGTTACTCCAACAAAACTGCCACTCTCTAAAATGCAGATATCGTTGGCTGAATGATGATGGTATGCTGATATTTTGTTTCTTTCTTGCAGGTACCATGAGGCCAGTGCAGAGGAACTTCTACGAGCCGTCGTCGGCCCCGGGGAAAGGTGTAGTCTGGGAGTGGGAGAACGAGAATGGCTCCTGGACGCCGTATGACATGGAGATCTGCGTCACCATCCAAAACGCCTACGAGAAGCAACACCCCTGGCTGGACCTCACCTCTCTGGGCTTCTGCTACCTCATCGACTTCAACAGCATGGCCCAAACCAATCGCCAGAGCCAACGCAAACGGCGACTTCGCAGACGCATGGATTTGGCGTACCCTCTCATCATGGGATCTATTCCAAAATCTCAGTCCTGGCCCGTTGGCGCGAGCTCCGGTCAGCCCTGCTCATGTCAACAATGCATTCTGGTCAACAGTACGCGAGCAGCTTCTAACGCTATTCTCGCCTCGCAAAGACGGAAGCTGCACGGGCAAGCGGGGAACGGTGCTACGGGGACGCTTACGACTGTGCGGCAAAGCAACACATTCACTGGAACTTCTCTCTGGTCACCAGCATCCACCCCCTCGGGCACCAACGACAATAACATCCGTGCAGGGGGAGGACAAGCCAAAGCTGAGCAGGTGCAAGTGCCGCTGTCCAAAGCCAACTTCCCATGCTCCCCTGTGAGGCCCTCGATCTCTGCACACGGCCACCACACACTCACCATCAACGGGCAGAACAACCTCAACCGCCCTGGCACCCAACGGATTTCCATGGGTACTGCCAGAGGATCCATCCCCCCGGGGTAAGGGCAATAACCTCATGCATAACACATGATAGTGGGTTAAGTGGAATCTGGTGCCAATGAGCGAAAACTATTATATTCTGGCTGTGGTCCGTTTGTTACTGCAAGCATAACTAAGTATAGGATAAATATCTACACTAAATGCTGTACATTATGAATATGTACAAATCTGGTTGCAATGCTCCAAGTTTGGGAGATCTAGATGAAGTACCATTCCCTCTTACATTTCTTTCTAACCTTTTTACACCCACTTCAACGGGATTCTTGAGGATTCTCAGAAATACATAGTAAAGCACAAACATTGAAGAGGCAGAAGCTATGATAGAACATTGAATGATGTTTTGTTCCAATCCTAACGTCTTTGGCTCTGTGAGTGCACTAACAATCTGACATTTTCAAAGATATCAGTTTGTGATTTGCTTTGTAGTTTTCCATCATTGGGAGCGGTTCCTTTTTTCTTGTGTTGACATTTCTGGGGACTAGTTTGTCTCTCGTCTGTGCTTGTGCTATGGTTACTGCTCCATAATGAGCTTATGTCGGCCCCAATAGGCGTGAAATACTGCTGCTGTACTGGATCATTCACTCGGCTCCTGCTTTGAACTCATTTGTTACTATCACACTTGTGCGTTCGTTGCTGTGTCATGGGATGAGCGAAGGACTTGTTCTGCGCGGACCACATATTTGTTTCATGATGTGTGTTTGGTCATCGGGTAGGCGGCTCTTGTGTCGCTGTGGAAACCATTTACCATAGAGGCGCAGCTCCACTGGGGAAGGATGAATAATGGATCAAGGAAAAATGGGAGCTTCAGCAGAGCGCTCTGACCTCACAGCAATTCACCGCGAGGAACCAAGTATTAAAAAAATATTGAGCCCAGCCTTTATAACCAATGCTCTAGTACAGCCCCTATCCTGCTTTCTTTACAAAAATAAACCTCTCATGATCCACTTTGATTTAGTTCTACCGCTCATGGGAGAAGGCACACTTAATGCACATTTGAATAATAGTGCTTCAAAAAACGTTCACTTTCTGTGGCCCATTTCTGATCAGCTCATTGTGGCTAGACATGACCTTATTTTTTACTTTCTGTGGATATCTGAAACAAGATGCATGATTTAGTGGTAAACCGTTGCCCATAACCTTCTTGGGAAATAGCCAAAGATCTTAGGCAGAAACCATGTGCCTGAACTTGTGTTTTTGTTTATTATTTTTTTATAACAGTGTGAAAATGTGATTGTAAAAGGAATAGAGCCCTTAGTCCAACAAGGTCAATTTGGTCTTCTGTTAGATTCTACTTGTTGAGTATTTTTTTAAGACATTTTTTAATTATTTTTTGTACCTGACCCTCTCGACCACTGACGCGTTATCTTTCTCAGAGTGGTCACATGATGTTCTGTCTCTTGTCAGCTGTTTTGCTAAACATAAAAAAAACACCAATACTGGATCAAAGAGGCACAAAGCATATGGAATTGTGCCCTCCGGACAAGGGTCTGCAACCCTTTTTAACCATTTTGTCAAAGGACTATTATGCTTGTAATTGACTGTGTTTTCCCAATTATTGATCAGCGTATACAATTAAGAAATAATTTCACTGATGAGAAAAGTTTGATTATTCAGTTCACTTTTTTGTCTGAACATAGAGTGAAAAAGTGATGTGCATAATTACTTTTGTCGGACATCTATCCTTATTGGAAGAAACCCATCAGGCAGTTATTCTGATTCGTCAAAATACAGAATATCCAGATATGTTATTTTTCAATTGCACGCTTGAAAGGTGCAGTGGTTTAAATGTGAGAAAGTTTGAGCAGCAAAGAGGAAGAGGAGGGAGCACAGCGCAGGTTCCCATGCGGGTGGCTTGACGTAAAGGATGATTGTGGTTTACATGCACCCTGTGGGACATGAGAACACGCACACACACATACACATGCACACGCACAGAGATAACATGGGAACCCACTAACCACTTTAAACATCAGATCTGCTTTTCTCACGCCCATGCCGAAATACTCATGTTTACAGGTGTTGGACATTACAGTTTACATTTCATTTAAAATGTTTTGTTAGAAGATCTCCGTTCTAGAATCTATGTGCAATGGGAAAGACTTATTTGTTTAGTCATGCATTTTATTCATAAAAAACATTGGGAGGGGGAGAATTTCCTCTCCACATAGATCTGTTCTTTCTCTTATAAAGTATAGCTATGTATACATTGCACAGTCATGTAACTACAACATGCATGTGAACATTGCCCTTAAGATTATGTTTCTTTGTAAAAGCTATCATTTGTTGCATGTATTTTGAATAGAATTAAACTGAACCATTCTACCGTGAGAGTTAAAGTCTAGACCCCTAGATTTCATAGTATACTTTTCAGATGTGAGGTGGACAAAGAATTTGAGCATGTTTAGTTGACCTTTTGAAATTTAAGTGTTATTTTTGTGTCTCAAATGCCCCTTCTTTGTGATTTAGCCCAGCAGCAGCGCTCTGTTGTTGGTCCCGTCTTGTGTTTCCCTGTATGAATTAATTGCTGAGCATGTCTGATGGGGACGGCCCCAAGCCTCCACTGCCCCAACGTGGTGAGACCAAAAAGCTCATCTACCCTAAAGAGATTCATGAGCTGAGCCCCTACTTCCTGGTCCTTTGTGTCAATCAGACATTATCTGTGCTCATATTGAGGCAAATTACATTCATAACTCACTTTGCATGTCTCTTATATGGTGAAATGGAGGGGTAAACGGAGTATGATGTGATATGAATTGGACTTACGTGTGCAGATCCGGCAGAGCAGATGTTTGTAAAATATTGGTTTGTCCTGCCCGATTTATTGGACAAGTAAAGGTGCCCTGTTATAATGGCCACCCCTGCTCCTGATCGAGGCTCTGTGGCTTTAATGAGGGTCAAAATGCAGAGAATAAATTTCTACTACAGCAGATGTGTCGAATCTTTTTGTAAGATGGCTGCTTTAGTTAACCAGGCTTATCCAGGGGCCGACAATTTGTGAAACTGTTTTTACTTGATTCAGGCTATTCTGAGCTTTATAATTAGCTATGATGGGGCTGAAGTTGACTAAATGACAAATGACCAGCTCCCCCCTGGACTGCCACCTTAACGTGGTGGGGGAGTTTGAGTACTCGGATGATCCTGGGAGCTATGCTGTCTGGGGCTTCATGCCCCTGGTAGGGCCTCCCATGGCAGACAGGTCTCAGGTGACGAGTCAGACGAAGCGCAGTCCAAAAACCACCATGGATCGCACTATAACGAGAGCAGTGACGTCGCCCGGCATGGCGCAGCCGGGGCCCCACCCTGGAGCCAGGCCTGGGGTCGGGGCTCGTATGCGAGCGCCTGGTGGCCGGGCCTTAGCCCACGGGGCCCGGCCGGGCTCAGCCCGAAGGGATGACGTGGGCAGTCCCTCCTGTGGGCCCACCACCTGCAGAGGGGTCCGTGGTGGCGCGGTGCTGAGAGGACTGGGCGGCAGTCGAAGGCGGAGACCTCGGCGACCCAGTCCGCACACACAACATCTGGCTCTTGGGACGTGGAACGTCACCTCACTGGGGGGGAAGGAGCCCGAGCTCGTGGGGGAGGTTGAGCGATACCGACTAGAGATAGTCGGCCTCACCTCCACACACAGCTTGGGCTCTGGAACCCAACTCCTTGAGAGGGGTTGGACGCTCCACATTTCTGGAGTTTCCCGCGGGGAGAGGCGGCGAGCTGGGGTGGCCATTTTCATTGCCCCCCATCTCAGCCGCCATGTGTTGGAGTTCTCCCCGGTGAATGAGAGGGTCGCGTCCCTCCGCCTCCGGGTGGGGGACAAGTCTCTCATTGTTGTGACGGCCTACGGGCCTAACAGCAGTGCAGAGTACCCGGCCTTCTTGGAGTCCTTGGGAGGGGTACTGGACGGTGCACCGCCCGGGGACTCCGTCATTCTCCTGGGGGACTTCAACGCCCATGTGGGAGGCGCCAGTGACACTTGGAGAGGGGTGATCGGAAAGAACGGCCCCCCTGATTTGAACCCGAGCGGTGTTCAGTTGTTGGACTTCTGTGCCAGTCACAGTTTGTCCATCACGAACACCATGTTCGAGCACAAGGGTGTTCCACCAGTGCACGTGGCACCAGGACACCCTAGGCCGGAGGTCGATGATCGACTTTGTTGTCGTATCATCTGACCTTCGACCGCGTGTCTCGGACACTCGGGTAAAGAGAGGGGCGGAGCTGTCAACCGATCATCACCTGGTCGTGAGTTGGATCCGCTGGCAGGGGAAGAAGCCGGTCAGACCTGGCAGACCCAAGCGTATAGTGAGGGTCTGCTGGGAACGTCTCGCTGAGCCCCCTGTCAGACGGACTTTCAACTCGCACCTCCGGGAGAGTTTCTCCCAGGTCCCGGCGGAGGAGGGAGACATGGAGTCCGAGTGGACCATGTTCTCTGCCTCAATCGCCGATGCGGCGGCTCGTAGCTGTGGTCGCAAGGTCTCTGGTGCTGGTCCCGGCGGCAACCCCCGAACCCGGTGGTGGACACCGGCAGTAAGGGATGCTGTCAGGCTGAAGAAGGAGTCCTATCGAGCCATGATGGTTCGGGGGACTCCTGAGGCAGCTGTCCAGTACCGGCAGGCCAAGCGTGCCGCGGCCCGGGCTGTTGCAGAGGCAAAAACCCGGGACTGGGAGGAGTTCGGAGAGTCCATGGAGCATGACTATCGGTCGGCCTCGAAGAGATTCTGGCAAACCATCCGGCGCCTCAGGAGGGGGAAGCAGTTCTTTGCCAACACCATGTACGGTGCGGGTGGAGAGCTGCTGACCTCGACTGGGGATATTGTCGGGCGGTGGAAGGAATACTTTGAGGTTCTCCTCAATCCCCCCGTCACGTCCTCTGTTACAGAGGCAGAGGCTGAGGATGTTGGGGCGGATACATCTATCTCCCTGGCTGAGGTCACCAAGGTGGTTGGTAGCCTCCATGGTGGCAAGGCTCCGGGTGTGGATGAGATCCGCCCTGATTATCTAAAGTCTCTGGATGTTGTAGGACTGTCTTGGCTGACACGTCTCTGCAACATCGCGTGGCGATCGGGGGCAGTGCCAATGGAGTGGCAGACCGGGGTGGTGGTCCCTCTCTACAAGAAGGGGGACCGGAGGGTGTGTTCCAATTATCGTGGGATCACACTCCTCAGCCTCCCCGGTAAGGTCTACTCCAGGGTACTGGAGAGGAGGTTACGGCCGATGGTCGAATCTCGGATCCAGGAGGAGCAGTGTGGTTTTCGTCCCGGTCGCGGAACACTGGACCAGCTCTATACTCTCCATCGGATACTCGAGGGTTCATGGGAGTTCGCCCAACCTGTCCACATGTGTTTTGTGGATTTGGAGAAGGCGTTCGACTGTGTTCCCCGGGGTGTCCTTTGGGGGGTTCTCCGGGAGTACGGGGTCGGGGGTCCTCTGCTGAGGGCCATTCGATCCCTGTATGACCGGAGCCAGAGCTGTGTTCGCATTGCCGGCAGTAAGTCAGACCTGTTCCCGGTGAATGTTGGCCTCCGACAGGGCTGCCCTTTGTCACCGGTTCTGTTCACTGTATTTATGGACAGAATATCTAGGCGCAGCCAGGGGTCGGAGGGGGTCCGGTTCGGAGACCACAGGATTTCATCTCTGCTGTTTGCGGACGATGTTGTCCTGTTGGCTCCAACGAACCAGGACCTGCAACATGCACTGGGGCGGTTTGCAGCCGAGTGTGAAGCGGCTGGGATGAGAATCAGCACCTCCAAATCTGAGGCCATGGTGCTCGACCGGAAAAAGGTGCCTTGCCCTCTGCAGGTGGGTGGAGAGGTCCTTCCTCAAGTGGAGGAGTTCAAGTATCTCGGGGTCTTGTTCACGAGTGAGGGAAGAATGGAGCGTGAGATTGACAGGCGGATCGGTGCAGCGTGCGCAGTGATGCGGTCGCTGTATCGGACCGTTGTGGTAAAGAGGGAGCTGAGCCGAAAGGCAAAGCTCTCGATTTACCGGTCAATCTTCGTTCCCTCCCTCACCTATGGTCATGAGCTTTGGGTAATGACCAAAAGAACGAGATCGCGGATACAAGCGGTCGAAATGAGCTTCCTCCGCAGAGTGGCTGGGCGCTCCCTTAGAGATAGGGTGAGGAGCTCAGTCACACGGGAGGAGCTCGGAGTAGAGCCACTGCTTCTCCACGTCGAGAGGAACCAGTTGAGGTGGCTCGGGCATCTGTTCCGGATGCCTCCTGGACGCCTCCCTGGGGAGGTGTTCCGGGCACGTCCCACCGGGAGGCGGCCCCGCGGAAGACCTAGGACACGCTGGAGGGACTATGTCTCTCAGCTGGCCTGGGAACGCCTTGGGGTCCCCCCGGACGAGCTGGAGGAAGTGTGTGTGGATAGGGAAGTCTGGGCGTCTGCTTAGACTGCTGCCCCCGCGACCCGACAACGAATAAAGCGGAAGAAAATGGATGGATGGATGGATGGATAGACTACATTGGGATAGCAAGGCAGAGGCCAAATGAATCAACCGAGGGCCGGAATTGGCTCGCGTGCCTTAGTTTGGACATGCCTGGCCTACGGCGTCAATAAATCTTATGTTGTGAGAGCCTCTGTCCTACTTCTATAACTGACATTTCTCCACTGTGGGACAAATAAACAGATTTTTTTCACATAATTCTTCTTTCACAACATTCTACCTTTTATTATAGACTTATCACATAACAAACTATATTCTAATTGAAAACCTTTTTAAAGTGAAATCTTTTGCGTACCGTCCATAGCATCATCATTTGGTCCCTTGAAGATCTCAAAGTTAACCCAGCTGGGGGACGAGCGCCAGTCAAAACCTATAAGGGACCATTGATACTTGGGGGTACGTGTCAGGGAGAGGTGTTTGTGTCTCTGTGGGCTGGACTTTCCTCCCACTACTCGCATCAATATGTAATTAAACACTTTCAATAGGCTCCATTTTCACCCTCCTTCATCTCATGCTGCATAATCAACACATGATTACATATTAGTTTGGCATCAGCGTTTCTTTACTCTCTAGAAACTCAATTTTGGAGAGATTGGGTTAAACAACATGGGAATAGCAGCTGAAAATGAGTCCTAATTTAATCAGTTACATTAATGAACTAAAAACATTGTGTATTGCACAAGAAAACTCAGACATCTCACAAGAAATGTTATTACACACATTCAAACAAACTGAACTAACTTTATCAAGGCATGTTATTTCAAAAAATATACCATTCCATTAAATTTTTTTTCCATTAGCTTGAAGCTTTTTACTTAAGTCAATAACATTTCCAGTTACATTTTGAGACTCACCGCATTGTCAGTGTCTCTGCCAAAATAATTAATTGAACAAATTTTTATTTTTATTTTTTTCTGCTTTTGTGTAACAAGTGTTTTACTTTTGAATTGGAGCGTTAAGTGGAACCAGTGGATTTTAGTTTTAAGTGGCATTTACATCCACAGAATACATAGGTTAATTTTATTATTATTATTTCTATATTTTCAATTATTCTTGTTGTAGAGAAGATGCACCAATCGGAATGCTTCAGCTCCTCCCGCATTGCATACTCTCCAAAATATACTTTGTAACACTTTTTGTGTGGTTGTTCCCCAACTGATTAAAACTGCTCACCAGTTAGTTTGGCACAGACATGGTTTGGTGTCCTCCTTGTAAATAACAATGCCATTGGACTGTAAACCAGCCTGTTACAGGTCCTCAGATGCGTTAATATGACACGTGTTCGGAGAAATCCAGTTGTTTCGCGCTGTTGTGTAACTACTGTCGTCTTGCTGCTCTCGCTGTTTTTGTGCTTTGTGTGCAGCTGTTTCATCAACCTTGCATATTTATTATGCAATGAAGTTGTGTCGATGCAGAAATCTCAGCTGGTCATAACCAGTGTAAAGATGAAAGGGCATTTTTAATTAGTTTCCGTACACATGATCATAAGAACTTTGTTATTTAGGTTAATTGTATGCTTCTTTGCTGTTAGTGGAGGATTTTTTACCATATTTTACCCAACCGGAAAATAGCACATTTTCACACATTATTCACATTTTAAAGTCATTTGTTTTGTAGTGAGAAGTGCAGCTGCTTTTTTCTCTTTTGTTCCGTGATTGTGATTGTGCATTCAAATGTGATGCACTGACTGCCTGTCCTGAAGTGTGAAATCAGTCGCTAATCTTTTGTTACGCGGTGGAAAGGAGGAGGGACCCAAAATTCAATACTGCAAAAATATCATTTAATAACCAAGAATTCGAAAATCAAAACTGTAAAAACACAGGGACTAAAGACAAACCAAGAACAAACATTCAATGGACTGACAACAAGAGGGAAAGAGCACAGGGAATTTCAAAGTATGATCCTTTTATTGTCCCATAACTCTGACTTCATTCATGTAAGAGCTGTTTTCATTAGTCTTTTATTGTGGTACATGGTGGAATGCGGCTGATTGTCTCCTTGTATCCAAACCACTGGTGTGCGAAACGGCACAGGTTTCCTCCTAGGTGCTGAGATGAGATTGGACAGCCGGGATCAGGTCTCATCCTCTTTGTTGTTGCACTCTGGCTCAGGAGCAGTGCTCTGGTAATATCAAAGTGCTCTCTAGATGCCACCGCCCAGTTCAGCATCTCATATCTGTGCTGCTGCTGCGCTTATTAACATCTGCAATTATTCTTCAGCTCAAGTCAATTATTAACCAGCTCTAATACCATTTCTAATTAATTTATTCATTCACTTATCAGCATTTACTTTCAGTATTTTACTTACTTTATCTTTTTAGGTATTCGTTACAAATTGTGCCCTGCTGTTGCTAGTTGATGATTCTACGCCATGATTTTCCAAGTGATTTGATTTCTAGTATTATTGCTGCATTCATAATTCATTTATTGAAGATCGGTTGTTGTAAAGCCTCATGCTTATGTTTGCAATGTGTGGGTCTCTGATTATTACAAATTACAGGTTGGGGACTTCTGTTGTAAATGATCAGGGTTACGAATGGCTCACTCCTACTCTATTGGATACACAAAAGCAGCCTGCTCTTACTCAAGATTTTAAAAAAAATGTATTTATTAGCCAGCAAGGGAAATTTATACTGTGGGGTTTTGTGCTACAAGTGTGACTTTGGGGAATCCACAGACTGTTTGAGTCTGAGGAGTTTAAAAGCTGCTCCTAAACTTTTTTATTAAAGTTCTACATTTGTGTCAATGCAGCGAGCTCCTCCCTCCCCAAATGTCATTCCCAATCAGTTTTAGCTGCTGTGCTTCGCCCATGACTCGGCCCCACAGCCAAGTGCATGTGACATTTTATCTCCACTGCTTTATACTACAGAGGGGCACCAACATGCTCCCCCCTTGTTTTAATAATGGAAATTCTGACTCGAGACCTTTTGCGCTGCTTTACAAGGTGTGAAGAATGCATTAGCTCCTGCGAGATTACGTGTTTTGATATTGGCTAATGGAAGATGTGTTTGTTTCCCTTCAGTGTTCCTGCTCTGCCTGTGAAGAATCTTACCGGATCTGGACCCGTACATCCAGCACTGGCAGGTACTGTGTATCTTACTATACTATAATATGACAGTATGAAGCATTTTAACACATCATGGGTGGTATGGACCAAATACAATTCAAAGCAATTGATGAATATTTGAGTTTTAGGTGTACGGTGTAAAATAAACCACTAATCTGCTTTGCCAAACTATCAGAATCACGACATCTCAATCTCTGAATCTAGAAGTTTCTACACTGCAACCAAGCTGAATATTTTTGAACATACTTTTCTTTTATATTCATTATTGATTTACTCTACTCAATTTATTTTTGTTTGGCCCTAAATCACAACAGCAGTCATCTCGGATTGACTTTACAAAGTTGATGATTCAACAACAACAGACCAGAGAATCAAACACAGAAAATGCAGTAATATCAAACCCTTTGGGGCCATTAGTCCATTGGGAGCAGGATGACGAATGCCCATAAATGTTTATAAATGCCAAATGTTAATGTCGCTAAATGTTTCAGATCCTCACCATCCTTAGACTTCCCTACGTTTAGTATTGCAGTCTTCCTTCTAGTACATCTGTTTGATATCAGATTTATATAAAAGAATTCTGTTATGAAACAACTAGACTAGAACAACACAAAAGTACACACAATTTAAGTGTGCATCATTTTCTTCATGTGTAATAATAATCCATGTTTTAACTGATTTATTAATTAGACCAGGGGTGTCCAAACTATGACCTTAATGCAAAAATATAACCATCAAACAACATTTTGTTGGCCCTCACACCATTGTTTTTTTACTGACAACCTTCACAACATATTGATATTATGGACGTTAGTCATTTATGGTGTAGTACTGAATCAAGAGGTAATGGTATAGGATAAATGGTGTTGAATGATTCAATGAAGAGTGTCAGCCCAAACCTTCCCCATGTCTCTGAATAGCCTTTTGTAAAGTGCTGTGTGACCATGGTCTGGGAAATACTCGACATAAATAAAGATAACTTACTTGTTCTTTCATTGACCTGCGTGTATGAGCACATTGTATTTATTGTTCTCTCCACTCTCCTGTGTGTTGTTCGTTGTGTGATGTGTGCGTCTGTTCACATGTGTCAGGTATGACAGGTATCCTGATGTGCGCTGCAGGTTTGCCTGTGTGTCTGACGAGAGCCCCCAAACCCATCCTCCACCCCCCACCCATCAACAAGAGCGACCTCAAGCCTGTCCCTGGAATCAACGGCATGCGCCGCAAAACCAAGAAGAAGCACCTGAGGAGAGGTAGGAAGGACATGGGATAATGGAGCGGAAACAAGCTCTGTATTTTTGGTCAAGTGAAAAATATGAAGTTCTGAGACTTGGAGTGCCGTGTCCTGCTACACAAGATGCATGTTGTTTTTACATAGAAAGAAAGAACCAATGCAAATACAAGATCTAGATTTGTGTATTTAAGTTCTTGTCTACAAGACACTGGTGATAAACTGTGTTATGTGCCCATTTGTGTATTGGCTCAATGATAAATGTTTAATATTCTCCATTCACTGTGAATACTGTAATGGCTATAGATTTCAGACTCCCATAAAAAGTAAGTAGTGATACTCTTTAGTCTGATTGATGCGGGTATTTGCAGACACGGTAATTAACACAGGATAGTTGTACCAATGTCTCTGGGTGGATCTAGAGTGCAGTCAGACATCCGTCTGCTTAAATTAGTGCTGGTCATTGTGAGCTGTGAAACCCTGGACCTCCCCTGGGATCCTTTGTCCTAATTGATCACCAAAGCTGTACCATGTATTTGCCTGTACAAAGGTAGCCTGGTTTTACCACACCTTAGTACAAATTTCATTTCATACTAAGGTCTGGATTTGCTCCATTGAGCTCCGTGAACAGGTGGGAGGGGTTTATCTCCTTTTGCAGATTGAAACGATTGGATCTGAGTTTACCGTGACGTATGTAGTGCGCCCGAGTGTGTTGTTAGCATTTAGCCTAGCCATCTCCTTTGCCGCTAACGGAGCCCGTGGAGAGTAGCGCCACAATCTTGACCAGTGATTACATTTGCTAAATATTCCTCTTGCTCCTGCTTCAATTTCATGATAGAACCAGACCAGATTACTTTACTATCGCATTCTTCGCCATTGCCAAACTACAACCTGCCCGTTCGCCGCAAACTCTTGACGTCACCGGCACTGACCTACAACACCCGCCTTCCGTGCTCTCTGAGTAGCCGGTTGAAATACGACCGATTGTATTCGCTAACACAGGGACCAGACCCAGACGCTACATGCAGTGAAATGATGATTGAGCGGAGTGTACGGATGGCTATGGCCAGGCTAGTACAAAGATAGTCTTTCCTTGTCCTTCCTTGTTTGCACCATTATTCAAGTGATCATGGAAGATGCATCAATAATATCAGTGTTTTTTTATGGAGAAACGCATTATTATGCATAACATTATGCTCCGCTGTCGAGTCTGCACATGTGATAAAACTGCACTCATTGTTTCGCTGGCACTTTAGAGGCTTCATCCTGGAACTTCTACAAAAGCCAACTCTTTGTTGCTTTCACTTTAATTGCGTCACTTATTTACTTGATTATTGAATACCAGCGACTAGTAGTGCTTATAATTGTATCTCGTGCAATTAGATAATGGAGCAAGATGAAAGGTTTGCTGTAAGATGATGACACGTTAAAAAATACTAATGTGATTAGGTGGATTGAGAGGTGGAAGGAAGGTCGGAACAACAGCCAGAATGATTGGGCTGGGTCTAGAACCCAAGCGGCTACGTTAACTTTTCCTGAGCCAGGCATTGTCTGAGCGAGCTACACTCTGAGTGACTGAGAACATGAAATGATCAAACATGGAATGTGCACGGATGATCAGGCCGGACAGAGGCCTCCACCCTAGCCACAGGCAAACACCAACATTCCACCACCCACTCAACAAACGACAATACAAATTTTGGAAAGCAATTTAACAATCAAATCAATATAAAGTCTAGACCAAATAACTATAACCGCTTTATATGGAGAGTTTTCCGATCCTGCTCTGCTAGGGTGAGGGGGGTAACAAGAAAAGGCTGTCATTAGTTTTTTTGTTAGTAGTGAAGGTGCGCCTTAATTGAATTTGCAAACTAACTGATGAATTAGTATAACAGTGTTGAGGTAATGCCTGATTGGAGATGTGGTATTCTCCTCTGCAGCAAACTTGACTCTGCCTAATTTAAAAGGTCAAAGTAGTGATCTCACTAATGAAGACATCAAATAGTTGTGGCAGTTCACACATGATCCTCTTGTCTTCTCCTTCACACCAAACCATTTTCTACTTTGGTTTGCCTCCCTCGACGCCTGGCACTTGCCCAAATGAACAAACAAAGGGGTAATGGAGGTGATGTGTAAGCGTATTAGCAGTGTAAGCCAGGGGTGCTCTCAGCTTTGCTCACTGCACGGAGGATTAACATGGAGTGCTTGGGTGGATGCTCACTATGTGTCAGTCTGAAGGTGACCCCTCGAAGTGACAGAATCTATATTGGGCTTGTGTTGGAAAATCAACAACTGGTAGAAACATCAAAATGTATCTCAACACGTTGACTTGTTCATGATGATGCAAATATATTATATATATATATTTGCAATATCTTTGCTTGCATCAATATAATTAGTTTTTACAATTAGGAAATTGTAAAAACTGCGTAAGTGCAGTACTTCTATTGTGTATATGAGGTTCCAAATGTAGTAAGGTTGACGTTATTCTTCCAGTTAATTGATTATACAAAAAAGCTTGATCACAATAATTGGTTCAGAGCCTTTCTGAACCACAACCCTCTAAAGCAGGCATGTCAAAGTCAAATACATCAGAGGGCAAAAAAAAAATGTTTGCTACGCGCCGAGGGCCGGACTGGTTCAATGTTTCTCAACATCCATGAGGCAGTGCCGGTGACACCTGTTGGCTCGATAAAATATGCTCTAAAGCCAATCCTCATACTGTACATATTAGATGTAATAGACATCTGAGAACATGAAAATAGTAAAAAAAAGAAAAAGCTCAAACTTGGTGAAATGTAAAAGAGCAGTCTGGACGTCTTGTCAGGGCGTTTTTTTGATTAAATCTGAAGAATGGATTATACTTTGGGAAATACAAGTGGATATTCTTCTTCAATGAACAGTTACGGAGAGAAAGAGACTAAGCAAGGATGGGGAAAGTCTAATTTGTTGGAGAAGCAGAAGACGAAAGGTAAAAAACAAATACAGACTGATTTATTTTTTGCCCATATTATGCGTTATATCTTTTTAATGCAAAGTCTGATATCGTTTACATATAAATATAGCTGAGAAAATAAGCTTTAAAATGATATATAGCTTGTGGCTTATGAAGTTAAAAATACATCTGCTATTGCCAGCAGATCTATTTTTTTCCTCGTTTGCTCCCGCCGGCGGGGGCTAGCGAGCTTAAGGGGTCAATACATTGCCTCAATGGCAGGCAATGTCCCGGGGGCCATAGATAATTCATTCGCGGGCCGGATTTGGCCCGCGGGCCTTGACTTTGACACATGTGATCTAAAGCAATGATGTAGCAATTGTTGTTGTGCCCTTAGGCAAGACACGTCACCCTCATTGCTTTTTGTTTGCGGCAGCTGTGGCTACAGTAGTTTGAATAAGTGTATTTATAAATCATAGATCATGATCAAACGTATTTAATATGTATTTAAGGATTTTTTGTGGAAAGTTTCAAAAGTGATTACTTATTGATTATTTGAAGCTAATGGATGAATTACTCGATTATGAAAATATTCAATGGCTGCAGGCTTAAATTGTCTGCTAAGGCGAGCAGCTATCTTACAACCACTAAGGAATAGATCTTTAGCCTTTGTTTTGTGAACACTCTCTGCAGGAAAGTTCTCACCCTTACACATCTTCTCATTGTTACAGAATGTGAATTGTTTAAATTCAGGCATAGTTTCTAAACTATATGCATCTTATAGACATTTATTTGTCTTAACTCTCCCGTAGGAAAAAATCCAGAGGATGTTGTGAAAAGATACACGGACAAGATAAAAGTGGCACCAGATGAAGTAAGTACAAAAGAGAAATGTGCCCATGGAAAGGACACAGTCTGTCACAGTTTGACGTCTCAAAAATGTGTGAAAGTGTCATAAACGCACCCTGTCGGCCCAATGGCAGCTCACGTCTTGTGTTTGGTTATTCCAGGACTGTACCATCTGCATGGAGAGGCTGTCCATGGCGTCGGGATATGAAGGTGTCCTGCAGCACAGAGGAATCAAGCCAGAGCTGGTGGGCAAACTTGGCAAGTGTGGCCACATGTACCATCTGCTGTGCCTCGTGGCCATGTACAACAATGGCAATAAGGTGGGTACAGACGCTGCAAGCAACAGGACTCATACAGAAGATCCCACCTGTAATGACAGAGCATGAAAAATTAATCCTCCAGAAACTGACATGACATTTCATTCAATCCAGCAGTATTTTTTATTGTAACTAAACATCCTAACATTTTTGTGTATTTTACAATACTGCTGTTGCTTTATACACACTTTCCCGACCAAAAAAAAAAACATTAACCACTGATATTGACCCATCTCTCAACAAATTGAATTGGAATATTTCCCGTACAATATATTTATCTTGAATACATTTTATTTTCACTAATTTGAATATGTGGGTTTTTTGTGTTATTGCAATTTTAACAATGTTTGAACTTAAATGTTTGTATGATTGCGATATATCCTTAAACAATACCTCTACTTTTATCTGCAGGGAATATTGCCACAATCTTCTATTGTATAATCTATAAGGCATTCCAAGCCAATTCTTTTTCATTTATAATTCATAGTTGATACATTTGCAATCTTCATCTTATCAGAAAGCATTTTATCTTTTGCACGGTTCTATGGAAGTTCCCCATGAGTCAATATTTGGTCCTTTAGGGTGGAAGCTGTGCAAGGGTGGTTAGCCTTATTCCCCTTTTCTGTCCGAGAAAGCTTAAATATTGTTGATTAGTGAGTGTGCTAAAGGCCCAATTATTGATGGTTTTAGGTGAAGTTTAGAAGTAGAGTGACTTGTTCTGTCTTAAACAGGATGGCAGTCTTCAGTGCCCCACATGTAAAACCATCTACGGGGAAAAGACCGGAACTCAGCCTCCTGGGAAGATGGAGTACCATGTGATTCCCCACTGCCTCCCCGGATATCCTGACTCCAAAACCATCCGCATCGTTTATGACATTCCTGCTGGCATCCAGGTCAGAGATCTCTTTCATTTCTTTAAAACTAGAGAAACACATCGTTGTTGAGGTAAAATGTAGATACTCCTGCTCTAATTTGGTCAGTTGATGAGCTTCAACAGGAAAAATGGGGGAAGACGTGGACTGAGGCTCCCATGATCCTAGTTCTTACAGTGGTGTGATTGTTGCGTGTGCAGGCTGCACAAAGACGCACACTTGTCCAGGACAAGGACCAGTCACGAGTCATTGTCAATGATTGGATGAATATAAAGTACATGCAGTCAGTAAGTCACTGATTGCATTTACTTTGTAAACCACAATATTTTTCTCATTGACTTTAATTGACGCAAACGGACCAGAACCCGGAGCTGAGCAGGGCAGGCACAGGGGATGTGGAACTGCTGTCATAAAGCGGACGCCATTGTCACCGCTCCGTTCTGAACCCTGAAGCAGAAGATGTGAAATCCCATTCTAGTACGCACATTCCCTGCAGTGAAGCGTGCCCCCACCCCAGCGCTACACCGGGGCCCTCCCTACTCTTTGAGAAGGACTTTTTTTTGCCATTTAGGGCATTATATTGTATTCAATTTGTAAATTTTGCCCAAAATGCAATCTCTGGTTGATCTGGCAGTAATTGTTTTATTTTTTGCATTTCTGATTTTTCAACCCCATAGAATTTTCTCGACATAACTGGACCATGTTTGTCTGTCAGGGTACATTCAAAAGAAGCTTCAGTAATCATTTGTTCCCAGTTCCCAGAATCAGACGAATTGAAAGTTACTGCATAAGTTCTAGAGCAGAGAAACATGCATTGGATACATTATGAGCAGAAAGCAGATTTATGGCTTGTATATGGAGGTCGTCTGCTTCTTGAGTGTTGGTCGGGGTTGATTTGTTAAGGTTGTGCAGGAGAAGTGGGAGGTATATTTCATCCTGACTGCAGAGAGGAGATTTAATAGAGTCAATACAATGACCTTTTCCCACCAAAGCAGCAGGATTAGTGTCCCATGGGAAAACGACGTTACTGAGGTCAGCGGACAGGTCGGGTCAGTAGAGTACAATGTAGTATTTCACACTCATGTTCACTCGCTCACAATTAAAGAGTTGTTCTTATTCCATGAAATGCCGAATATCATTGATTTTTATTATCTTTGAAATTGGACACTGGACTTAGGGCCGGATGAATTGGAATTATACATTTTCAAGATCTACATTGTGGAAGGGTGTTCCAGGGTGTTTTTTTTTTTCAAAATAGTAAGTTCAGGAGAAAGATTGCTTTCTTGTGGATTTGACTGCACATTGTTGATAAACGAGATAGAGAAAAGTTGAGATTGTGTTTTTTTTGGCCCAGCCCCAACTTGGTTTTTCAAAAAGTAAAATTAGAGGTTTGAAGATTACCTGAAAGCATTTAAATGAAGATGACCAATGATAACCAATGCATTCCAAATGCATTTGTTTTTTCACCTTTTACTTATCATTTCCATTTTTCACCTGTTTATGAGTGCATCCTATTATCTATCTGTCTTTCTGTTCTTGTACTGTGTGTTGCATCACAAAATGCCCCCACTGCAGAAAAAAGGTTCTTTTTATATGATGAAAGCTGATCAATGTGTAACGTCATATATGACAATTTTAACATACAGTCTTACTGATATATTCATAACATCCTTGATTTCTATTTTCAGACCAATGAGCATCCCAGTCCTGGAAAGAAGTTCAGTGCAAGAGGCTTTCCAAGACATTGCTACCTCCCTGACAATGAGAAAGGCAGGAAGGTGGGTAGTTTAAATTGCATTCCCACTAATTGCTGTATTCCCATTTCTATTGAAATGGCTGCATTTATCAAGCATCCATCCTTCTGAGTGGGACTTCATGTGTCTCAATGCTACTTTTGAAATCTTTTTTGTTACATTCACTTCATACACTTTGTGGTACAAGATTTCTACTTACCATACTTTCTGGACCATTAGGCGCACCTGTATATAGACCTCACCAGAAACATTTTAAAAGGAAGTACATGTCCACATATAGGCCGCACGGGAATATAAGCCACGATTTAATGACAAGGTGTTTAACAGCTTAACCGTTAGCTTCCTTGTCAGTACTCATTCATCTATTATCTATTTTGAGTGTATTATAGCTACTAAATCTTGATGGAGTCAAAAGTAATTAGTCCATAAACTCTGCTCTGACAACTCTACCACAATGAAAAAACACATTAGATGCATCGCTATATAAGCCGCAGGGTTCAGAGAATGAGGAAAAAGTAGTGGCTTATAGTCCGGTAATTATGGTACTTATTTTTCTATAATTCTTGAACATTTTAGGTTTTTACTATTCTACTTGATCAGTTCCTAGTCCCTCATACATATTTGCCTTTCAAATGTAGGTTCTGAAGTTGCTGACCATGGCCTGGGACCGCCGCCTTATCTTTACCATTGGGACGTCCAGCACGACGGGCGAGACGGATACTGTGGTGTGGAACGAGATTCATCATAAAACTGAATTTGGCTCCAACCTGACAGGCCACGGATACCCTGACCCAAACTATCTGGACAATGTCCTGACCGAGCTGGCAGCACAAGGAGTTGGCGAAGACAACTTAAAGGACTGATAAACTGTTGCTGATTTGTCGTTCATGTCAGGGAGCATTGCATGATGGTCCAACATGCCGCCCACAAACTCACACTGTGGCCGCAGAAACTACATGATATGGTTATGAGTAATATTTTGATTCATGTAACCAGAGTTTCCCTGTGAGCATGTAGTTCACACTATATTTAAAGGTGTCAGAATGTTGGCAGCTGGAGGTCAGTGGATGTTAATTGCTTGTCGCGTTGCTTTTGTAGTGATGACGATGCTGACTTTGTGTAAAAGCAGAAACAGTGGAACGATGTCAGATGGCTAACGCCTCAAAATGAATGTTATTCGCGTTAACATTTCCACACAGTGAGGTCGAAAGATCTGCTGTTTTAGCTAAGTGTATAGAACTCATTTTTGATGGTGAATTCATAATTCTACCATATTTTACAAATTATTTTTCATATTTTTTGAGTTAATGCAATACAATTCTGGCTTTAAAAGTGCTCTGGGCAGGATTGACATTTTAAAAGCAGCCCTTTGAGTAACCCTATGGTGTGCATGAAGGATTTCTGTCAGAACCACATTTGTTATTGTGCTTAAGCTTGTGAAGTTGTGTTTCGGAGGGACCTGCTGCAGTTTGAGGTTGCTCCTCCCGGCAGTTTGTTGCTTGGTGAAAGATTAGGTCGGTGAGCAAAGATTTGGTGCAATCCAAGGTTAAACTCATTTGTTCTGGTCTATGTTGACACTGACCCTTGCAAATATACTGCCCACGTTCTTGTTCTTCTCGCTGTTTGAGCAGCCGCTTGCTCCATCGTCACAGTCCACTATAACATGTAACTGGGCATACTGCCTTAGAGCCCTTGGAGAGAATATTGGCAAGTACACAAATGTCAGTACAGGACTAGTGATGGCTGCATACAGAAGAACTACAACTTTTGGTATACCTCTTTGAGTCATCAGATCCAAGTCTAGAGGCAGCTTGTTATTGAGGCCACGTCTAGTATCTAGTCCTCTCGTCACCAGCATACACTTTGAATACCACCCCTGGTCTATTAGCTGATACCATTTCTTGCCCTGTTCCCTTTAGATTTCATGTCCTTGAGCTGGGGACGTCTTGAAGGTCCTAAATGGAGATTGCTTTCTTCACTCTGAGATAAAAGATTAAGCTGCATAACTCTCCATAAATTTACCCAATCAATTTAAGTTTGCGGAGCTGAGTTGGTGTGTGTGGGCAACAAGCAGCTGTGAGCTACATTTATGGGGTGGATCAAAGTCTTCCATAGCACTTTGAGGCAACTGTTTGATTCCATGTTTGAATTGTATTTGCAAGCCTTTTCAGTTTGTTTATAACCAGCTTGCAACGCTTTGAAGACTGATATATTACACATTTCCAGATGTCTATGTACCTTTTAAGATGAAGCTCTGTCTGAGTCGATGGCGTAAGTTTATTTATTTTTATATAATCTTCTATATGTCTTATGCAGGGGCCACGTATTGATAGGCGCAGATTAAAATGATTATATACTGTAGAGGCAGTTTCAGGATCAGGGACTATGTGTGACGGCTGATATGTGAGGAGTAAAGCATTGTGCCGCTGTCTTCATGTGGAGTGAAGGGTTTTCAACAAAAAAAACTTTTCACAGGGAAGCTTTAATATGACCATTACCCCAAGTGGCTGCTTCATTTTTCATTTGGTCAGCATGAAAATGAGAGTCACCATCTTGAAGGTGTTAAACATACCAATTAAAACACTCAACTTGGCGCTTTTTAACAAATTATTAAATTGTAGAAAATGACCCACAATTGTAATGATGACTTGTTCATCTCTTTAGCTACTAAAAAATGCCCTTCTTTTGTGTTTGGTGCACTACATTATGTTCTCCTCTTGTAGGTGTATTAAAGCAATACTCATCAATTATCAAATATTTCAGTTCCACCTTGTGTATTGTAGTTTTATTTTTCAATGCATGCTTATCGTATCATTTCGAAGGGGAAAAAAACAATGTCTTACTATGCGCCTGCTTTCAATGTATACATTTTATGATTCTGATCTACACAAGTCCAACACCCTTTACAAAAACGTGACGGCTGCAGTCGATGCTTCCAATGTTCAGGGAATCTCGGTGTCTTTGAGTTTCTTTGCGGATCCATCTGTCGGTTTAACAAACACGAGCGATGTCGGCCCTTTAGACTTTTCAGGTTTGTACAGATTCTATGGACTTTTGTGTTCGTCTCAAAGTCAGAGAGATGATGGTGTTTATGCAATTTAATGTTTCGTCAAAATATATATATTCTACATTTATACTTGCGTGTAGCAACATGCCAGATCTTTGTTTTTTCAAATGACGATGGATGTTTCCTTATGGGGTTCCTACCTCCGTTTTTAAAATTAAAGGTTGAGATCTGAGGATGTCCATGCAATGTATTAGAAAACATATATTTTTATGTCTTTATGACTGATTGTGCTTAAAAGAACTATAACAATGCGCATCAATGTGATACATACCATATGTGTTTTTTATTGTATTATAAGTGAGACACGTTTATCCAGGCACAACATAGTTCATTATTCACCACCCACCGATCAAGTTTAGCTGGATGTCCATGTGTCAAATGTAATGTCAGGAAACAAAACAAAAATCAAGCAGGTCAGATAACTTTTGACTGATTGACTTTTGACTTTTTTTTCAAAAGTTTGCACTGGTTCAAAAACCACAAATGCAAAGATGGACCAGTGGGATTACAATACAATACAATACAATACAATACCAGACGCTGCCAGCTCTGATAATGGTCACAGTTAAGCCTGATCGGTGTAGCTCCCATGTGTCTGCTGCAACTGTGCTACTTGCTCATGAGTACGGTCTTGCTGCATTTGTGTGTGGGAGTGAAATGAATCTAGGTTCATGTCCTTTAAAGATACAGTAATGTTCTCCTAGAGGTGCATGTTGACCTGTGAGCAAGTTCAACAATTAGCTTTTCTATGTGCAAAATGTCAAAGCTACAGTAGAGAGTAGAGCGGTGACTTGGCACTGTGCGTCTGAAGCAGAGGTGTCCCAGAGCAGCGCTTGGCCACTCTTCTGACCTGTAAACCACATGATTATTTTTGCATTTTTCAAGTGCCCATTTCACACTTTCTCTTGTAAAACGATGTCTGCATATTAACACATATATAGTCATTGGATCAACTATAAAGGGCTTCTAATTCCTAATCAGTCTTTATTGGATGGTGATGACATTGTTGCATGTATGTGTCTTTCTTGTGGAAAATAAACATACTCACAGCAGGAGAATTGGTTCGACCTTTTTGTCACCTTGGCTTTTATTATTTTATCCAATAATTCCCTTGTCCTTGGACATTGTTCTGCATCTCATTAGAAATGAGCTGAGCTAGTTTTACAACTAGTGCTTTTACGTTTCACCCTAGTGAAAAAAAAAAATTGTCAATGTGCAGTTCTCTGCTTCCTAATGGGCTTTTGCTTTTGCATAACAAGGTCAACGACTGTCACAATACTACTACATATTATTAGCAGCAGAGGTTACTTGGCAATTACAAACTAGTAAAATTCCTTCTCAACTGGTCTTGGGACATTCTTCTAATTCTTCCATCATACTCCATACTGTTACTAAGACTACTTCCAGAACTAAAACGGCGTTAGCACAAAGGTACAAAAAGAAAACGTTTTTTATAAATAAAAGTAGTTTAATCAAATATTTCTGGCTATCACCTGAATATTGTTTTTAGTGAAACTAGTGAGTAATGAGCAAACGCAGAACGAGATGTTTTAATCTGTTTTAATGTTTGTATTTTACTGAGTACATTTGTTTCTGGTTCACAGTTAACAACAAACAGTGTTGCAAAATAAAATGTACAATGCTGAACTGGTAATTTTACATAGTGGAATAATTAAATACAAAACATAGGACTCATGGGAGCCTTTTGATTAGGGCTGCAAGATTAATAGCAATCGAATTGGCATCGAATTCAGTGGCCACAATTGCAAAATAATTTTTCAGTTGACATTTCCTGTACAAACATGAAATTATCTTGTTGCATATCATACAAATCAGGCTATCCCTGAGTTTAGAGCACTGAAACAGTCTTGAAAATACAAGGATCACTTCAAATGTCAAAAACCCAAAATGTTTGAATAAGGTATTTCTCTTAATTTGAGTCAATGTCAAATGTTGTAAAGGTAGACCGGAATATGAAAGGCAAGTTCACTATTAATACTTTGTTTTAAGAGATTTGCTTGTCATCTGACTTAGAGCATTTGTCAAATAAAGATAAATACAACTCACTTCAAACATCTGTTTTGATGTTTCAAATTTCTCAAATTAGAATGTTCCTTGAGGATTTTGATCATGATCTTACATCACAATGTGATACTTGGTGCAGCCCTATTTTAAGATTATTTTGTCAAACGTCTGGATGTATTTACAATCGTGTCGCTTGTCTTCAATGGACAAAACAACAGGCCATAATGTAATCATGTTGTGCCCACAAGATTCATATTGTTACTTTACAATTCATGCCTGGATAACAGACATTAAGTTACAAATAAAAAACATGTATAGTAGAAAGTGAAATTGCTTCAGAGGGTCAGTTTAAAATGGAATTGGGCTCTGTGTGTTATGGCTTTGAATTTAGAATAGTAATATTCAAAAGGTTTCTTTTTCACATTCGTGTAATTGACTTGCACATTTAAAGTAAACATATTTAACTTTTAAAAAACATGCCTCACTTTTGCAATTAACAAACATGACACAAGCCAATAACAGTGGCACGTATGTTCAATATATGATAGTTTAAATTGAAGGTAAATGTTACCCATAAAACATTTTAGAATGGTTTCTGTAATTTATACTAAACTAAAAATAAAACTCAACACAAGCAAATGAAAAGTGAGCTGGATCTGAAAAAATACTGGCGAAAGTAATAGCACCAAACAAAAGCATTAACGTGTACAATGCACTGGTGGTCTCACTCTGAAATAAAGTGCTACATCTATGTGACCAATTTAAAGTATTTATAAAATAAGAACAATCATACAAAGCAATATTTAAAAGATGCTTTACAAACTGTACATTACACTAAAACAAAAAGCTCAGATTTGCATAAAAACTTACTTCAGTCCTGTACAATATGTTCATATACAGTAAAAAAGCTTGTCACATAAAACGAGTGGACCGAGGCATGCAACAAATTGCTTGTTATCTACATAAGAGGGAGATAGATCTTCAAAGACCTCTTCATAATCCTGTGTCCGCTCTTTGGCAGCTGGTGGCACAGAGAACATGAGCCTTTGCTCTGGACAGCTGGAGATCATCGATTATGAGACAAGTTTGTTCCTCCGCAGTCGTGCCATGTCCCGGGGTCTTGGGGTCTTGGGGTCCCGGGGATAGCGCTTCAGTGGTTCAGTATGACACAGTTGGGGTCTTCCTTCTCTCTGCGCTGGAAGGCATTGTGGGCCTTTTCCAAATCTGTGATCACAGCCAACAGACGCACCGGGACACTCACCGCTGCTTTTGTCTTTGCGTTGCATTGTGCACCCTCTACAACAAATACACACGATCGTTGACCACATCTCACTCATGTTTTTGTGTTGGTGGATTTGATAACTTATTTTTTTTTTTTCTAAAAATGTAATTAATTTAATCCAGACTAATAATCTATTTAAATAGCGGTAAAGAACGCATTTTATTTCAACCAGTTGAAATCTAATTACAGCAACTATTTCTAACAGTGGGTCACCCTACTATGTTGGTGTGGCTGCCTCACCTAAGTGAATCTTCTTTTCTTTATTGCTGGACTTCTTATCAGCTTCAGAAATCTCCAGATACTTCTTCCTGCAGCAAAGCAATCATATCATTAGCATACATTACATATTCTTTCTTCTCAACAGTAAGTATGAGAGCTGTGGCATCAGCGTGTTGCAACACTGTCCTCTAGTGCTCTGACTGTGCACTGCAGGTGTATATGCTTTGCTCAGAGACCTGAGTTTGTCCTTTCCCTGGAGAAGTTGCTTGTAAATAGTTTGGGTTTCAACATCTGGGTCAAGGGGGTCACTCCAATCGCCAAGGGTAACCGCAGAGTGAGTTCTGCTGCAGCCTGTGACTGTGTGGGAAAAATTCACTTATTTGAGTTCAACAGAATATTTTTTGTTTAACTACCATGTTTTATTTGTGGAAAAGCGGTCATATAAAAGGTACCATTGCGGTCGGTCTGCAGACAGCACGTCCATTTCCCGCTGCGATGAGCTCCCGGGTGGAATGATGGCAGCATGCGCTCGTTGTAGATACTAACTTTTCTGATAGCAGAGAGCCACTGGTTTAACTCATTTACATTCTGTGAGGAGAAGTAACAGTTAAACTCAAGGTACACACCACTCAGCATCTAGATGTATGGAAAGTGGCAATCAGACTTCTTGTAATTCCCATTTTTATCTACCATTTAGCTGGATAGTCTTTCAAAAGGAGAACATGCCTCTTAAAGTACTTGTTGCTCTAAATTGACTTCGCCGTAAGAGGTCCCTAATTTTTCAAATAGTCACAATTAAGTACAGGAATGTGGGTGGGGATATGTGATAGGTGAAGACGAGAATGTTGAGAGCATAAGCTTTTAATGAATTACAAAATGGACATGCATAAATTAAAATACAACTTAAGTAAGTTAACTATAGCAGTAAGTCAAAGGGGAAGTACTATACTCTGGTTTAAATGTTAGTTTAGCATAATATGTTTTTTTAATAGAGACAACGATTACCGGTACATGTTTGTGTAGAGTTCAAATGTGTTTGAGAATAATCATAGACCAAACATAGATGGGATGTGTAAGTGCTGGTGACCGCCGACCTTGCACTGGATGTATATAGTGTGCAGCTGTCCGTCGTTGTCCTGGGTGATGACCTGCATCACGTTTTGCTGCTGAAAGGCATTTTCATCCACTCTCTCCACAGCACATACGCATTGAATGGAAATTGAAGAGCGCACCTGCAACAATTCAGTCCACATAACAACCACAATTAAGACGAGTGTACATACAATGGTAATCACAACTCATACTGTGGAAATGAATTGTACACGTAACACGATTAGCACAGTGTGTAACAGAGAAATATTTTACTTGCATAAGATTATAAAGAGCGATGAGACATGAACAAAGACCTAATGAGATCAGCATGGCAGAATAACCCACTTTAAAGTGTAAATCAGCCACTTCCAATGGGAGCTTGTCTGACTGAGGCGACAGTGCTCCAATATGGAAGAAAGGGGCCAGGACATTGTCTGAGATCTGATTTGCAATGGTTGCATGAATATACAGAGCCTTCAATTAACCCTTGTCCTTTATTCTAATAACACAAAGCATATAGTAGCTCAAAGACGCAACTTTTTTTCGCAGGCCCACCGAGATCGGCTGTCCCCACTATTGCTCAGTTGGAGTCAGGTGAATGAGACGTCATTATCACAAGGTTAGGCTGCACACTGTAATAACTAATGATGTCCGCACAAAGGGATACACAAAAATACATTACTCTTTGCGGATACTTGATAAATGACATCAAAGGACATCCCTGATATATCAATGAAGCATGTCAGCTGCTAATAGAGGGTGAGTCACATGACTTTGAATTCTCTAAATAATTCAAATGAATAATACTATAACAATATTAAAGAAACAACAGATTCCTTTTCCAATAACATTCAACACTTAAAGATAAGTACTAATGTAAATCTGTTCAAAAAACATAAGGAGCATTTTCTTTCACATTGTCCTGTCGACAGAACTCACCTGCCAGTCTGACGTCTTTGCGTAGGACAAGGTCTCGCTGGTCAACCAGAAATAGCGTTTTTTAAAGGCAAACCTGGACAGCAGCTGTGGCCCTTCTGTTTTATACTTCTGCAGGTAGCCCTCTTTGACTGTGACTGATGGCATGAAAACAGCTCTCTGTGGGACCTCCGACACTGTGAAGCATGCAGGATGGTGGAAGTTGTATAAGGTTGATAATAATAGGTTGATGTTGACAGCAATAATTCAACAGTTAATAGATTAACAAACCCCCCCTGTTCAGTTGCCATTAGAACTAGCCTCCATGTCTCTCCATGAGTTTGCAACAGTTTTCAATAACTAGGTCCAAGGCATCAAAATGCCATCTCCACAGCACAAATAATCAATGGAAGAATTGCTTTCCTGGGATAATGCTGCAATTTTGTAAACGAGTGGCGTAAAAGTAATTTCAATATTATCGTCAATCACAATGTTTTTCTGAAGGAATATACTGTCCATCAAAATGTGTTATTGCAACATAATTGCATTTAACAATCTTTTTGAGCTAACTCACAGTTTTACCGAATACTACCCACTAGATTTCTAAAATCCCATATCCCTTCAATCTGGGACATTCCCACAGGCACTCAAAACTGTTCAGGGCACTCCTAAAAGGAACTGCCTGGATGCCACAATTATTGTCCTGTCTCAAATCTGCCATTTATAAGAAAGACTGTTGAAAAAGTTGTCCACATTTCCTCTAATTAATAACTAATTTGATAAGTTCCAGTCAGACTTTAGACCCACAGTCAAAGATGGGGAGAATATAGTCTATGGAAGAATCTATGATATTAGAAAAGCTCCGTTTCCATGAACCCCCCTTTAACGGCACTAAATGTCACACAGTCCTTTCAAGGAAAACACTGGGGTAGGAAACCTGATCTGTAGAAGGGAGTGGTGCTTTCCAACCACAACTCTGACGTTAGATGACATGAAAGCAGCTAAGACATGTAGGCTAACCAGTGTAGCGTGTGTGAGCACTTGCAGTTTCTCACCCCAGCGCTCAGCCAGCTCATTAACCATGTGTTCTCTGACCCAGCTAGTTATGAATATTTCACACCACGAAACAGCAGTATCTCTCTATCTACCAGCTGTCTTGCTCAAAAGCTTGATCCCTGAACTGTAGCGGGTTAGAGCACGTAGATTGCATGCTTACCTGTGTCGTGGTCTATATCAATTAGCTTGTCCAGAAAGTCTTTGACTGAGGCCACACTGTGGAGAATAATGGGGTGCAAAGGTACCATCCACTGCTCTTTTCCATGGCCAAGCTGAAGACCCAAGTTTCCAACACTTTGTAAAGCCTGGATGAGAAATATACACTCATTGTAAGAATGTGATCTTTATTTATACAGCTTTATATAGCTTTTCACAGAACAGGGTCATGAAGAGAAATGTATTTAATTTCATTCACTCATACACTCATACACATGTGGTCATTTTATCTTAAAGTGAGCCCCCATTGAGAGTTGAACTCCTGGGCCAATCAGAGAGCAGCACCCCTGGCACAGGTTGCAGGCAGTTAGAGGGAGAGGAGAAAAACACTCAAAAACAGTGACATTTTTATCCAAGTTCACGTTTTTGGATGGAATGATCCTAGAAATGCCTAAACGTACATATTTTATAATGTAATATGCATGTTGTATAAAGTAAGTGGACATGCAGCTCCAAGCAGAAATCTAAACTAAGAACATGCAACTGACAGAATCCAAAATCACCCCGGTCCAAGAATCCAACCTGGGACATGTTGTTTTGTCTTTTTTCACCTGCACATTTTTTATGTTTATAATTTCACATTGATATTCTTTTTTGGCCATACTGTAATTTAACCTGATTGGTTGTCAGTGAAGAAAGACCGACCAAACACTATATATACACACCTAAAGGTGTGACATCAAATGGGTCCCTGAGGCCACTCCTGCTGCGTGGCCCTTTGTGGAGCCCACACCTGGCCTCTGGAGGAGAGGAAGTCCCCCTCATGACCACCCCTCTGAAGCTCCTCTTTGAACCAGACTTAGGCCACAGCTCACAGGGGTAAAAATAGCACCTTCCCCTTTCTCTGTTCAAGACCATGGCAACAGCACTTCAGCACCATGGACAGCAACCACCAACACCAAGCTCCAATGGATAACTTTAAGTAAAAGTTACATATAACACTTCTTTTGGGGATAAAGTATTGTGTAAGGTCTACAGACTCCTCATAGTCTGAAGTCTGCCTGAAGTCTGCCTGGATGAAGGTTTTTTATTGTCAGGATCGTAATCTTTTGCTGCACCTTTTATTGTTTTATTCTGAGACACATTTCATTGTTAATAGGCTTCATAAAAGCCTGTCTCTAACATTGCTGTGAGTCTTGACCCTTCATAAAATTTATTTTTTATTTTTCAAAGGCAAAGTGAAAAGACAAAAGACCATAACGCTAAAAATGCATTCCTGGAAACTTTTGGGCAGAGCATAAATCTATTGCTTAGATGACTTGGCACTACATGGAATTGCATACCTACTGCTGGAGCCACAGCTGCCCTGGGGCAGTTTTTCCAACACATTAGTTGGAAAAACAAATCTAATCAGAATGATCATCTTACATTGGTTGGTGCTATGAATAAAATAGATTAAAATAGTTAGACAAACCAGACTCATTCTAGGCTGGTAGAGTGTCTTGTCTAAGGACACAACAACAGTTTGGCACTTTAAAGCGGCAGAAGTCCTGTGGCACGTGGTGTTCCCAGAGGTTTCCCATCACAGCACCATCACATACTAACAGGCAAGTGTAATATGTTTGTCTTGTCTATAAACACTTAGCTTGACCTTCCTGTGGATGTATATACAGTAGATGGTCTGTTTCCTGTAATTTAAATGTATCTTAAAGCTTTTAGATAAAACAAATAATTCATGGCCTTAACGTCAATATATACAAGATGAAAAGCATTGTTTCTGCTCTGGTCCAAGTGTGATGTCTAGACAAATCTAAATTATTCATTCTGTGTATATTTCTGGATAGACGTAAATATTTTGAGTGATACCTTAGCGAGTAGTAACAGTGTACGGCTTGTGCGTGTGTCGGCGTGTTGGTCCCTCAGCTGAAACAGTTTGGGCGTCAGTATCGCAGGAGCAAAAAAACGGAGGAAGAAGAATCCACTGATGGCCAAATACTTGACATCCTGAAATGATCACATAAACAAGCATTGATGTCTACCATGCATGACAAATATTCAAAACCAGGCCACTGTTTTCCTGTTGGGTGCCAAGTTTAGGAGGTTAACTTGATTAGAGATGTGTGGATAATCAGTATTTGGGCTGGGATACCTAACTTTCAAATTATAAAAAATCATATATGTAATAAAATCCTTCTAATTAGTTCATGTAGTTACTTCCAAAAACAAACTAAAACACAATGTGAATGTTCAAATCCAGGTTTTTTATTTGTTTTATTGTATCTTCACTCTTTGTTTTAAATGTACTGTCATTGTGAATGATTTTAGTAAAAAAATGTGTCCTCTACAGTTTACCCATACTTCATTGCCATTAGGGCCTCCGTCAGGACCAGAACGACCCATCTGGAGGATATTAGCATATTTTTAGTGGTACAGGAAACTATGCTATACACATAAACTTGCCTTGCCTTCCTCAATTAAAAAACCTGCTTAGGATTCAGGTACACAATGTACAAAAGTAAAAATCAAATTTAATGGAAAATAGCGATATCCATTTAGTGCAAGAGCTGAAAAACATTTCACATACAAGCCTAATGCAAAATCAATGGGTCGCTATAGGTTTTCTATCAGCAACTTAAATCCATTCTGGTCTGATGTGGCCTGCACTGACCTCATTCTCGGGTTCGGTAAATTGCTCCTCCACCCTCTTGTGCAGCTGCTTGAAGGCCAGTCTCATGACCGGCGGACACTGATCGACTGAGTTCACGATCGATTCGATGATGCTGCTTAAATAAATCTGCAGCATCTCCACACTGCTGTCCCGCACCTCAGCCTCAGACATGCCGCCCTTAAAGGATATCCGCCTGGAGAAGAAGGGACAAAACACCACAATTTATTCAATTGTTCTATGCTTTATTATTTGACCCAATCTAAATCATGTTTCACTGGATGCTTTGGATTAAATCTACATGTCAATAAATTAATCAAAACAAATATTTCAAAATGTGTTTTGAAATTCTTCAACGTCCAAAGTCCTATGTATTGTTGTGACTTTACGATTGACATAAAGTAACTATATAAATCTTCTTCAGCTACACACAAGTGTTCAAAGCCTTCTCGAGTGAGCCTGTCTGAATTACAAGAGGAGAATGCAGCCATGATTATAATCCATAACAGTTTTTGCGTCCATAATTATATTAGCTGGCAGCTTTGATTATTGATTTTGCCAAACCCTGGTACACACCAGACTGTACAGCAAAAGACGAATAGACTGTATGACGGCTGCAGTCATGGTTGATACAGAATATGCCCCTCCCGCTCTGATGGATATCTCTAGGGGTTCAGAGCAGTTGCCAAGCAACAGACTTCTCTCCTTTTAATTTTTTTTTTTCCATTTTCGTTTGCACCAATGTCTTCCTCTCAGGGGCAAACAGGAAGCAGACTGTCTCCAGCGGCATCTTTCCATTTGACCATTTTAACGCCTATGTCGTGAACTGCACACACCAAGTTCCCGTGTGTAATATGTGTCACGCAGCGCCAATGTCATTCAAACGATTCAATGACTTCAGCTTTGAAACGAGGCAGAATGGAGAGATTAGACACAATTCTTGTCGTCACCTGAGTCGGTTCAAGTCAATTTTGCATGGATCCAGTTCGATGTACTTTTTCTCTTCAAAGATCCGGTTGATGATTGGTCTCAGGACTTCATGGAGATAGAGCATTCCAACAGCCTGTCAAAATAACCATGCAGCAAAGTCAGGAATCATACCAGCAACAGTATGCAATATAAACATAACTATCAAATGCACCTTCATGAATTGTTCCATTGCTTTTGAGGCAAGTGAGTTGGACCGAAATAATGTGTTAGGATCAGCTGAAAAACAAGTAAAACATTATTATTTTCAAAACTTCAGTTTGGGCACACTTTTACCTCAACATACCTCTGTGTAATATACTTATACTTCAACATTTTACAACAACCTAATTAAGGAACAAGCATCGTCTTATTTATTTTACAACTTCCTGTCCAAAAGCCTTTCCGTTTACAAATGTATATGGCTATATTTGCCACATTGTAGATGTGGGAGATGCTACACATCTCCCACATGTACTAGTATACAGTACATGTATACACCGTACTAGTATAGTATTTTGAGAAGATACAGTAAATAATGCGTGGGACAAAGGATGCCTCTGTTGGTTCTCATTCAAGCCATCCCAAACCATTGTCCAGATGGAGAGAGAAATTCATCAGACCAGTGTGATCACAATAAAATAGTCAATAGTCTAGTTAACTAAACAAAACACCAAAATCTTTCCAAAACTGAAAATGCTCAGCTGAATTTTCATCATTTTTGATTAGCTTGACAAAAGAGACAATACAATCTACCAAGAATTAAATTCAAGCCTTTACAAAGCAATTTATTTCATGCTACACACTGATATATTTAGCATGTCTGACTCAGAAATGTTGACTGGGGGACACACCAAGCGTTGTGCCGGTTCCAATCCTGATAGAGCCATGGCAACAGGACTTATTTCTGCAGATATTTTCTTTAAGCTTGAGTAAATGGGTGGGTGGTGTAAAGTATTTTCAGTGACGTCCTATTTGACAATATTTCACTATCAAATAGACAATTCATTAACTTCAACCTTCGAATCTAAAGGAGGTCTGACAACAACAATTGAGGAAGAATGTTTTCAAACAGAGCACCGTGCAATTATGAAATGTATTATTAATTTTATGAAAATTATATACAAAATATTTCATTACCATTTGGCCACTGATAAGCATACTGTACATGTCTGAAGAGGTTTAGTATGGTGAAGAGGAGCGACTTCATAAGTGAGATTAATACCTGTACGTCTGTGTAGATTTTGCCAGAAGAGAAAACAAAGCTACATCCTGACCTGAAGAGAAGGTAATTAATTTAGCTTATTTTATTTGTATTTAAGAGAATGATACATGAAGTTATTTTAAATTTGCCGAATAACATAATAGTGTTCTATTAAAAAGATTTAATGTCAATTCTAGAGTTACCTTCCCAAACACGCTCCTGAGCCACTTATTCATTACTCATTAGGTTGTTTGAATGACCCATTACTTTCACAAACACATTGTGTCAACAGTAAACTGGGAAAATGCTGATTAGCTATTAACATAATTATACCAGGACTAAAGTGAGGGTAAACATGAATACTATAATAATGATCAATCAATAAATTATAAATTAGATAATACTATTGGAATCAATGAATCAGCACATGCACAAATCCGTCAAATATACAGCATGGGAATTATCCATTGTGGCAAATAGCATCAACATAGTAGAGAGATCCTCATTGAATTCAAGTTGTTTCATATTAATCACCACAAATAATTATTTTGATATCAGATTAATGGATGGATGTAATGACTGTCATTGTTAAAATATAACAACAAGATTTCTATGGAGCTTTTTCCACTGTCGCAGCATGAAAAGTGCATAAATCAATGTGAATTGTGGGTCAATTAAGAGCTTATTATCACTAACTAACAGGTAAATAAAGTAATTTGAAAACTGCATGTCAGAACCTCCAAAGTATCTATTCCTTAATCAAGCACAGTCTGAATGGTGAGTCGTTGCTATAGAAACTGCTTATTATCTCCAAGTAACTGAGAAAACCAATCGACGGAGCAGAACTGAGTGTGAATTACAACATGGGGACGTGTTGTGGAGGCTTAACATGACTAACACACAAATCAGAACAAACGCACTGTTGTGGTGAGTAAGTGATTGTCATTAGGGCCATAAATACAGCACTGGTAGGAATTTGCCCACGCATAAATGTGTCGGAGCAGAGGGGGTAAAAACCCCCAAAAAACTGTCCTCTGACGAACTATGAATTAGTCATACTTTTATTTTCATTCAGCCAGAGAAAGAGATTAAGAATCTTTTTTTGTTCAAGAGCGTCCTGCCAAGGATGTAGGACATATGGTGTTTGATCACATGTGTCAATGTAGTAAATATGATAATATTTAACTTTTTCTACAACTTACTGTTAAATATAAAATAGTGGTTTTCAATAAAACACTTTCTGTTAAAATCTGACCCTATGAAGTTATATTTTATATTTTAAACTTTAGAAATCTAAATATTGATTTAAAACTATATACACAAACAAGCCCACTAGCTTCATGAAAATGAATGTAGTGTATCAGTCAACACAACAAAAAGTCACAACAGAAGACACAAGGTTTTTTCATATATCCATAAATATGTGTTGAAATTCAGCTGCATTAAAAGCGGCACATTCACACACATGAAATGAGATATAAATGTATCTTTCATATAATCAGCTTTAGGTTTTTTATTGTCAGAAATGGACATAGCTAAGTTATATGCCAGTCTGACACACCCAGCAAATCAATATCACCTCAGTGGAGGAGAGAATGTTCCAGACCCGCTCATGACAAGCACACCGAAAGTAGAATTATTTATATGTTGATAGTACTATAGAAACTATAATATATATATATATATATATATATATATATATATATATATATATATATAAATATTTGATTATTAATCAACAACATAGACTCTTGCTTTCATGTCACAAAGAATGTGATCAATGCTCCTGGACAAAGGTGGATTCGCAGCATATAAAGGAAAGAACAAAAAAGCTGAAGCTCTTCACTGTGCGGTCATTGTGCAGCAGTTATCCATTAAAACCATGAGCTCACCTGTGTGGTTGACCTCGCGGGTGTTAAAGTAATCCAAGAACGGCACCACGAGGCCTTGTCCCAGGTAAATCTTCACCAGTGTCATGGCCACATCCTGCCGGCTCTCCACGGTGGTCACTTCTTCAAGCATGGTCAGAGCGCTGGTCTCTTCCACCTGATGACATAACCAGTTACAGCCCGCACCACACAGAAGGATGCATTACTAATCGAGTCATTAGTAACTGAGGGAACCACACATAATTACACATAATACCAGGACGTACGTCTGTAGGAGAGATGACTGACTCCACCAAGAGGTCAATGAGAGGCTGGTAATACACCGACGGTAAAATACGATCCTCCACTAAACACACCTTCAGGCGCAGCGCTCCAAGTTTACCACTGGGAGCAGTATCAAAGCAAACACAACATTAAAAGATTTTGTGAACATTATAATTCTATGAGTTTTTCAGCATTAACTGCGTTAGGCCACAGTGACACACAGTTCATATTTCAAATAAATGCAAATGGGTGAAACTGAACTACCAGGCCTGTAATCAGGTATGTGGCAATTTCTCGAGGCAGCCAGAGGGTCACAACAATTGAATTTACATTAATTTAGAAATGTAATAATATCATTCAGAGTTACACTAATAATATATTAATAATAATAATAATAATACATTATACTTATATTCGGCGTATATTTTGGACACTCAAAGACGCTAATAATGACTAATCATAAATTAGTAACATTATAATGGACATTTTGTTGCATTATCCACACACGGACAGAAACACTATTGTGGCATGTATGAGTTGCAAACTACATGGAACAGGCGAGTGACCCTTGTACCCGCTCATGTTCCTGTATCGTTATTTAACTGTGTTTTAAGCAGAACGCCATGACTGGTTTCCAATAACACACTAATTGCTGCTTCAAGTCAGAAATACTCCGACAAACAACCCACAGTACAACTCATAAACAAGCGTTCTCACCCAGCATCCACCTCGTTGTTTCCCAAGGGCAGCAGGCGAAACCAGCCCTCCAGATGAGGTGACTTGTGCAAACACGCTGAAGGGATTTCCACCTGCCGATAGGAAATGAGCAAAGTGAAATATTGATTGGTCGGAGTGCAAATTTAAAAGAGCACAACGTAAGCTTTGAAGTTGAGTTCATCACCTGCTTGTCTCGTTGAAAGTTATATTCATAAAATGTTTGCACATTACGGTATGAATTCATCTTTCATTTATTTTTATTTTTTTCTTGCCTTAAAGAATACTTCGTTTTGTTCCAGTCACCTGCTTGTTTCTATAGCAATTACTAGGGTACCATAATTGGTCTTATTTGAGACATAGCTTTAAAAATCTATCTTTATGGATTTCAGTGGAACAACTGAAGAAAAAAATATGTGATGTTTATGTGAGATGGTAATGAATCTGTGTAACTACAACTTAAGAGACTACTTACTACTTTCTCAAACATCACAGGCAAAACATCCAACTATTAAAGGTATAAAGGAGGATTTTACCGAATTTTAGGAGAGAGCCGCCCTCTTCAGAGGGAACGCCTATTAAAACATGTCTCGCATATTGCATAAGTAGTAATTTAAAGCTGGTATACCTCATTTCTTGTTTGTCCCAATAGAGAGACTCTTTTTTACTCTTCTGTCTGAAAAAGCTCATCTCAAGATACCAAAAACACATAAATCTGAAAACTAGTGCTTGAACTATACAGTTTTTGTGGTTTGAAAATTGGGTACCCCAGATTTAATATATTCATACAAGATAACTTACTTTCCCCAAGAAGTCATTCTTGCCCACCATGTCCCAGTCCCACACTTCCACCGTGATAGGCGCCTCATCATACAGCTCCTCTGGGTCCAGCTCCAGCTCAAGAGTTTCCAACCAGTGAGGAAATCGAGTCTTTTTAATAATCTGAATCCAAAAGACACAGCACAAATAAATCTCCTGTATGCCATATCTCCGCTAGCAGGGGAGAGGGACATTCCGACCGGAGCACAGGCGGAACATGAAGTACATAACAAAGCTTACCGAAGTCTCTGCACTGTGGTTGTTAAAGATGACTCTTGCAAAAGGATCAGAAGTGCCAGAGGTGTCTCTGGGGGCGAGATCTCTGAAGAGAAGAAAAGAAATTTGATGCAAAATGTTAAAATGTTATTTGTTAAGCGTCATTCAGTTAAACATACATTTGGTCTCAAGCTCTGATTGACATGTTCATTACTGACATGTCAAAAAGACGGATCTTGCAGCCCGGGACACACAGATGGGGCATTGAATAAATGGTATGATAGCAGTAGAATCAGAGTTACTCTGGAGAGGAGCAGAGAGGCCTGGGGCATCAGTGATAAGGCTCTTGTACACAGTTAAAACAATACAAGGACACACTAATCTCACATACTTGCTATGTAAACAAGAACTACTATCAATCATTTTTGACTGCTGTATCACATTGGGCTGTACAATTCAAATGGATTTGATTTGACTTGAAGAAGATCATAAACAACGATATATATGTGTGTGTGTATATACATATATTATATTATGTTCATTTAAGATAAGATAAGATATACTTTATTGAGCTCACAAAGGAGAAATGTATGTTTTTATTTTATTTTATTTAACAGCATTTACCAACAACATTGTATTAAAGCATAAGTTTAATGAGAGCTTTATCACATGTGTTTGTGTTACCTGGCTTCAATGACTTGGCATCTCAAACTGATCTTCTCTGAGTGTTTGAGCAGGACCAGACTGAGGCGGATCTCCCCTTGGACTTCTTCATTTGGGTCGACTCTTGTCAAGTTCAGCCAGCTGTCCAAACCTTCACACCCAGAAACAGCATTTTGTTATCATACATTGTATTTTATGTATTTTTCGATTAATGTTGAAGAAAAATTATGAAAACGTTTATCAATTCAAAACATAAGCAGCTAGTCTGTGAAGATTTTCTTGCGAAGGAGGAACTGACTCAGTAGCGACATGTAGCAGTGAATCAGATTTGAAGGCCATGCCAGGTGGTGCTCAAGAGTGGCATCAACAAGCTGCTGATAAATACAAAATGTCTTTAACCATTTTGTTGTTTTTAAAGCACAAAGATATGAAAAGCTCTTACATAAGAGATATGACCAAAACATAGAATGTTGAACAGTTTGACCACGGACAGGATGAGGGGAATAACAGATCATGTCTTTATCAAAACACCTGTTTGTGGGAGGCTGTTTAATAATATATTAAAGAGCGTTTAAAGAGCGTGTTTTATTTCCAGGTTAATACACCAAAATTACAAATGGCTGCTTTAATAGTACATTCCTAATATCATGGAGGGTTCAGTGGTAAAGCCACCAACACCAATAGAGCTCCAAAGTGTATAAAAACATCACTATGGAAATGTATAGAAATCAACCATATTGACACCAAGTTGTGTAGCTCATCCATAGGTACATTATCCAGAGGTTGATGACCAGAGTCCAATATGAGATGTATAAATCTGTAGTAAAATATTATTTCTTGCTTGGTACCAGCGGACATTCACATGGCGCCCCAGCTCGTCCCATCTTGTTTTAAGAGTCATTGCATGTTTACTCTCAAAGCAACATGCACTACAGACATTAATAATGACTATGCTTGAAATATCTCATATATTACCTTTAGCTTGAGAGCCAATGACCTCCTTGGTTAAAGTAATCTTTCCAATCACATCGTCATGGCTGCAGTGACAGAAAAAATTGGACGTTTTAAATACATTCCTTATAAGGAAAAAAAAACAACCTAATCACTCATGGGAGTTACCGTCTGTCCATTACTGTTTGTCTATTCAATATGATCCTTTAACCCAACACATTAATCTATCACCCCTAAAATAGCTCAGAAAACTCTACATGAATACTCTGCACTATCCCAGGAGTTCCAAGTAAATATGACATTATTTAGGGACAAATGTGAATGTTACCCAATTGTGTCTTCATCCATGACATGAAAAGACAGTGAGTGAAATCCCATCGGGAGGTGCAGAGTGTACTCCTCACCCCAGAAAGGATTAAGGTTCTTCCACACAGTGGCTGTCCTGGAACAGGCAGACAACTCATATTACACACCATATGTTCAGATAATACTAGACAACCTTTATTAGCACAATTAGTCCTGTCCTATAGATTTCTCAAACGATGCAACTTGTACGATGTGTAAAGCAATACATGACTTCATTAATATCATATATCTTAATGTGAGACACTTAAGAAGACGATGCAAAAATTGACTTTAATGAGGTTTTGGTTTTTTATGTCAGTGTTTCTCTTGCTGAAAGTTGTATTTTCAGGCATCTTACATGTGTTGTATATGTTCTTCATGTGTTTAAAGTGCTCTCCTTCTTTTTATACTCTGGGGATTATTCAAATAAACACAGCTTCATAAATGTAGGATGAAAATACCATAAAGCACAAATGAAAATCCGCTCCTAAATGTTACCATGAACAAGCTGAGCCGTTCATTTCTGCAATATGTAACAGGAAGAAAATAATAGATTATTTCAGACAACTAGTCAGCAAAAATGTCTTTCAATTAGAGAAATGGTCAAATGTTTATGTTTTTGTTTAAAGATGTTTTGATGACATGTTGTGGCCAAATAATGAATTATAGCATGTTTACAAATAAAGAATGTTATTGCTATTTTGTTTTCTGACCTTTTGCTTTGGTAAATGTTAATTGGGGTTTTAGAGTCAGTAATATGATTATGATTACATGTATTGATTACTGGTCCCAATTATTTGATTCATCTTTGAAGCCAGAAGAAAATAGATATGTTTTCTATAACTATTTGAATTCAACAAATGATTCTGTAATATTAATAACACTGAAGAAAATACAAACACTATAAAATATACATAATATTTTTCGAGTGTAGTTTTTCTGTTGTTGGGTGTAGATGAGGAGACAACAGTGTTACATTCTTCTGCTTGGAAATTCCATACCAATCCTGTCAATGTGTGCAAATATGCGTTCACAGAAATACATTATTTCACTTTAATTAGGCTATTTAAGTCTGAAAGTAGACATATGGACAAAACAAACTTTAATCACTTTTCATTAGATGCAATCACAGCCTGCAGTTAAGTTCAGCAGGTGGATAACTCAGGAATCTGTGTCTATGGTCTTAACTAATAATCACTGTATTTTAGCGAGTGGGCTGAGCTATTTCCCACTTGCATTCACTGTCACATTATCTGTGAAAATCATACAGTCATTTAGGCTGAAACTCCACAAGTACTAGATAATTAGTGAGAGTGTCATAATAGTGAGTCATTGTGCTGTTTCCCTAACTATACCAGATGGATCTGAAGCTACTGTATATTTGCCTCCTGTTTTGGTTAAGGGTATGAGAATGGCTATAGGGTCAGTATGGCACTAAACATCTAGTCCTTGGTTCCTTGAGACTTCTGAAATAATGATATGCACCCTCTCCATGGTTACTTGATGTTTTTGGTTCAAACCAGTATCAGGTTTTCTGTGTTGGAGGAGCCATGCTGTTGACTACTACACCATCCTTATCAACAACTCCACCTTGTTTAAATATTCACCTCTAAATTACAGCCTGATATACGGATCCTATTAAGGGACTAATGCAAACATGCAGACCAGACAGGATGGCAGCGACGGACACTCACCTGGCCACAACTTCATTGTCAACTTTAACAATGCAATAAGGGTCACTTGTTCCAGACCTACAGAAGAAAATATAGTGACAACGTGAAGTGTATATGGAGTCCTCATTTTTAGCTGAAGGTTCAGAAGAAGAGTCCGACAAAAATGCAATAGTCATTCTAAGCTATTGCGGCGTTATGTAAATCAGGCTGAATAAAAATGCATCTGCACCTACATCTATCTAACTATGCCAGTGGTAAAAAGGTTTCGGTTACTTACACGTCTTTGGCTGGGAGATTCCTTCCCTCTACAATCCGAAAATAAAGAGAAGTATTTCTGGCCATTTTGTAGATTCAACAGATCAAACGTCTTCTGTGTCCATGTGCGTGCTTTTGAAGAGCGCTCTTGTCCGCCGCAGCTGAGTTTTCTTCATTGCATCGCACCTTCAGTGCGTGACGGCGCACAACCCACCAGTAGCGCGCCAAAGAGACGCGCACGAAGTCCCTCAGTCCAGAAGGTGACACAGCGATGCAACAGTGGGCAACTGAATGGGATTTGGCGATGTCACGGTGACCCCCAACACCCCTCTCAACCTAAGGACAGATTAACGACATATTGGAAGAAATACGTCTTTACCGTTGGAGTCACTTGCAAATGGCCCTTTCACAAAATAACCATAACATGTCACTATGCGCTAGGACTGTGGCTTGGAGATGTATGTTTAGCAACTGCCTGCTGGTGCGTGAGTGGTCATACCTGACGTGCTTGGGGTTGATTTATGTGACACACTGCACACCCTGGTGGCCAATTCAGGCTTCTGCAGTCTTCAATTTTGGAATTCTACGCAGGCGTTTTATAAGACACCTGGCGGGTCCTTGTAGCTGTGAGGGCTAGCCATGCCAAAACAAAGCTCCAAATTTACAGACTGTGGAGGTGTCGCGTTAGTTCAAGTCGTTTAATTTGATTTACGCTTAAAACGTTTTGTTGAATAATTAACAGGCTTTATAGTAACCAGGCTTTATTTCATTAAAACACCCTTACACCCAAGAAAATTGTTCTAGTGATAACAGTAGATAGTTATCTCTTGCATGATGTTAACAAATTGACTTATTAGCAGCGAACATGATGAACGCCTATCCTGGAGTTTCTCACACTGATCCTACCAAGCAACAAGAGAGGCACTACTACCTCCTGTCTGAACTGCAAACTGTAGTCAAAGATCTTCCCAGGTATTCAACCTAAAATAAATGATATGTTGTTATGTGTTTGCTTTGTGTTAAAAGCCTTCTTCTTGTACAGTTCTTTTCAACAGCGTTTGTCCTACAACACCCTCAGTGACCTGGCGTTGGCACTCATAGATGGGACAGTGTTTGAAATAGTCCAGGGACTCTTGGAAATTCAACATTTGACAGAGAAAAATCTGTACAATCAAAGACAGAAATTACACTGTGAACACCAAGGTACTGTATCGTCATATACTCATAAAATGGCACATTATACTATCTTTATGCTATCTTTATGTGTTTGCTGTATGCAGGACTAAAACAGGATCTTGCAAGGAAGCACAAAGATGGTCTGCAAACATGCAAGTCACACAACCTGGCTCTGTTAAAATCAAATCAACAGGCAGAATTAGAGGTCAGTCATGGCTTACTTTAAAGTGTGTCAGACTGGTAGATCTTTAGAACTTGTAATTTTGGTTTTAGGCTTTGGAAGGTCGCGTCCGAGAGGAACAAAGAATGATGGATAAAAAGATTGTGGCAGAAATTGATCAAAAAGTAAATGACCAACAGAACACTCTTGAAAAAGCTGGTGTCCCCGGATTTTATGTCACTGTTAATCCTCAGGTATGTATTGCACACACTGTTTGGCAAGGCAAGGGTTAATTTACTTATGTTTGCATATATCCATCTGTAGTAGCTGTAGTAATATGTGCTGTCCAGCAGATGGCGATGCTCCCTCCCTACTTAAGTTAAAAGAAAAACCTTGTGATTTCAGGAGCTGACAATGCAGATGCATCTTCTTGAACTTATTCTGAAACTTCAACAAAAGGAATCACAATCAGGAATCATTTGAATCCAAACTGTATGTGGTTATGAAGGGACAAAGATAACGATCTGTGAAACTGATCCAGGCGACGTGACCAACCTGTACATGTGACCGGAGGAGATTTCTATTCTTGAAATGGCAAGGATTTTACTGATGTCAGAAGGGCAGCTGGAGCCAGATGCAAATGCAATTACTGAACTGAAGCATGCTCTTGTTGGAGGAGACTTTCGTTCAATGGAAGTCCACAAGTATTTAATTATAGGCAATGTGTGTCTTATTTAATCAATTAGGTCTTCTTTGGTTTTTTCTAAGGCTCAAGGTCATATTATGCTGGTTGTTTCATGAAGTGATCATGAATAAATAGCACAATGAATTTCAACTTTTTTCTCATATTGATGTTTTGAGAGGATGTGCTTATTATATGATATTACTAGGGAGAGGTGACACTGACAGCAAGTGCATCAGGGTTCAAAACACTACAAAATAGTATTAAAGAGGTACAGTGCTCTGCTAGGACTAGCCCAACAGTTTTTTTTTTTTTTTTAAGTTAATATGCAAAATATAAACAACGGCAGAAAGTCCTTAGCTCTGAAACTGTTGTTCGGTGCTTTACAATTGTTATTTTTCTTCATTTTCCTACCTGAGATGTTGCTGTGTTTATAGTTTTGCACTGGTCCAGTCTAGAGCAGAGAGGACTCGCGGTCTAAACCAACCGGTTCAGGCAAAAATCCTCAGGAGGAATGTTAACTTTTTGATAATGCTAATGAAACATTCAGCCTTTTACTTCGAACTAGAGCAGAAATAATGGTCCAAACCAAGCAGCTACTCCACCTCTGCTGCTGTGACCTGTCCTGCTCCACCCCCAGCAGCTACTCCACCTCTGCTGCTGTGACCTGTCCTGCTCCACCCCCAGCAGCTACTCCACCTCTGCTGCTGTGACCTGTCCTGCTCCACCCCCAGCAGCTACTCCACCTCTGCTGCTGTGACCTGTCCTGCTCCACCCCTGTTGAGTGCTGTTGTATTATTACCATTGTTAGCTTTTTAGAATGATCAATGCATTTGTTTTGTTTTGTATGGATTGATGTGATTTTGCTGCTACTGGATACCTGAATTTCTCCTACGGGGGATCAATAAAGTATATAGACTTTAAATATTAATAAGGACCAGGATTAAGCTCCGCCCCCTGTGTTTGGGTGAGGCAGGGGATGGTGCTGGAGGAGGCTGTTCCTTTAAGAGTCCATGGATCAAGCGCTGCATGTCGGGTTATAGCTTTATGCACCTTTCGGTCCATCTCCAGCCGCTACATTCTGGCGACATCCCGCTGGTGTCACATAAAAACGGTGAGATTATTCAGTCTGAATCGTTTTTCACTAGTGCTATTGCTGCTAGATAATCATAACTACTATGATGTCCACGAGAGAAGCTCACCTGCTCATTGCAGTGAAGCTCTGCGACCTTTTTATTGGTAAATGCCTTTTCATTTTGAGCATGGTGTGTGAAAATGAAAAGCATAAATGTATAATTTTACAGTGATCTCCCTCTCTTTCGCTTCGTGCACCAGCAGTTTTATTTCTAATGCAGAAAAAAGCCTTACGTAATGATGGCAGACGCTCTTTCTGTCGCCATATGCCGCCCAGAGCAGGATGCTGCGCCCAGAGGGTTTCCCTACTAACATTGTCATTAAGTGATGTGTTTTTGTTCAGAACTAAAAACACTGTGCATATGTGGACAAATGTGTTTATGTTTTAGTACCAGTGTTTCCCAATCTGGGAGCTATTGTCCCCTTACATTTTCAGTTGGACTTCAGCAGCTTTCATAAAATAGGTACAAACTTAAATGTGTAAGTCTTGAATTATTGGCTGTTAACAGTTTTTATGAAACATTTTAATTAATACATATTAATTCTAAATCATCTTCAGTGACATGTAAATAATAAATTGATCAAGAGAAGATTGTCATATGCTGTGTCCACATGTTAAATAGGGGTCACTGGAAGGAAAAGGCTGGAAACCTTTCTTAAATCTTATATGCTGCATCTAGTCTTCTTTTTGGAAATCAGTTCTAAAAATCTAGATGTTACATATTGTCTATACCAGGGATGTCAAACCGGTCCTCACAGGGCTGGTTATAGTTCCATCCGGAGCACACCAGACTCCACTCTATGCCTCAGGTGAGTCCAGTTTTAACCTGAAGTTTTGAGGTGGAGTCTGGTTCTGGTGTGCTCCTGGTCAGGTTTGAACCTAAACCTGTAGCCACAGTGGCCCTTTCTGGAACCGGATCCCTGTGTGTGATGTCATGGGACAGATCTGCATATTCCAATTACCGCTTTTTTCTCCTTCTTTTCTATTTCAGATCACCTTCGTTTTGACTGGATGACACCGCTTTAAGTGGCGTCATATCTGCCATTTAAGCCCCTCTATTCCTGTAACCATGGCGGCCTGTCAGAGAGCCTGCTCCCCAGCGGTGCGTCTCTGTCAGAAACTGAACCGACTCAAGACCTTAGAGGATGACATGATGGCCACCTCTCTGAAGCGCTGCCTCAACACACTGGACTTAACCCTCATGGGAGTCGGTGGCATGGTTGGCTCTGGTCTGTATGTTCTGACTGGCACAGTGGCTAAGAACATGGTGGGACCTGCTGTCATTGTGTCGTTTATCTTTGCGGGACTTGCCTGTCTTATGTCCGCTCTTTGTTATGCTGAATTTGGAGCACGCATCCCCAAGACAGGATCTGCATATATGTTTACCTATGTATCTGTGGGAGAGGTCTGGGCTTTTCTCATTGGTTGGAATGTAATTTTGGAGAACATGATAGGTGGAGCAGCTACAGCCCGTGCCTGGAGTGGGTATCTGGATTCAGTTTTTAATCATGCTATTCAAAACTATACAGAGTCATACATAATGCACTGGAACGTCCCATTTCTGGCCCATTATCCTGATTTACTTGCAGCTGGAATACTTATTGTTGCCTCTGTTTTCATTTCATTTGGGGTACAAGTGTCGTCCTACCTCAACCACATCTTTTCCCTCATAAGTATGTGCGTGATTGTTTTTGTCTTGGTTTTTGGCTTCATCCTTGCCGAGCCTGCAAACTGGAGTCAACAAGAGGGAGGATTTGCGCCCTTTGGGATGTCAGGGATACTCGCAGGTTCAGCTACTTGCTTCTATGCGTTTGTGGGCTTTGATGTCATCGCCTCGTCCAGTGAGGAGGCTAAGAACCCCCAGAAGGCCGTACCAATCGCCACTGCTGTGTCTCTAGGGTTGGCAGCCGTGGCGTACATCCTAGTTTCAACAGTGCTAACGCTGCTTGTGCCCTGGCATACCCTGGACCCAGATTCAGCTCTGTCAGACGCCTTCTTCCGTCGTGGATACAGTTGGGCCGGGATCGTTGTGGTCGTGGGCTCTATTTGTGGTAAGTGTGTAACAAGTACCCATATGACAGATTAGACAATAATTTCATCAAAACACAGTTAACACCATTAGATTGAAGATTTGCCAACATGTAACCCTAGTTCAGAAATTCAAAACATATACTTAAACAAGTGTATTTGTCCAGCACATACAATCAAACAATCATCCTTTATCAGTTCACTTCCTGGTTGTATTACATCACTATGGTTACTATCTTAAGTATTGGGCTAAATCCTCTCTGATATTATTATTTGACTAATTACAATATTAGTAGCCTGAAATATATTAATTTAGTTTCAGAATTCATTCAAGACCTTAGAGAATTTGCCACCCTAAAATTGTGGCAGATTTTAGGTTGAGTTCCGAACGGTAGCGTGATGTCATCAATTTTAGATGAAGTGAAGATGTAGCTTTTTTCACAGACTGCAGTTTTATTGGTGTAAAACTAAAATGTTTCCAAAAAAAATTATTTGATCATTCTAATTTTAAACACTTCAGCTAATTTAATGAAGGACACATGGAGAAATCTCATCATATAATGGTTAATAACAGCGACTCAATAGTAAAAGGTTTAAGTTTGTATTTATGAACATTCTCACGACTTAATGAGAGCATAGTTGATATGTACTAACAAAGAAAATGCAGAGCTTTTTTGGGTTTTTTTTCATGTGGATTGGCCCACAATTTACAGAGAAATTAGTTCTAAACTAACACTAGAAGTTTTGGAATGTTGTGATGTCACATTATTGCAATCTTTTAAAGTAAAACATTGGAATTCCACTCATGTATAGTTTTTATCTAACTACTGTGCAGTCCAAATAACTCATCCTTTTCTTATTCTGTCATTCTATTTTCAGCAATGAACACAGTGCTGCTCTGTAACCTCTACTCCCTTCCTCGGATCGTGTACGCAATGGCTGAAGACGGCTTATTCTTCTCTTTTTTTGCACGAGTAAATCCTGTCAGCAAAGTCCCTGTCAACGCTATTATAGTTTTTGGCTTTATCATGGCAATTATCGCTCTTATTTTTGACCTTCAAGCCTTAGTTCAGTTTTTATCCATTGGCACACTCTTGGCTTACACTTTTGTGGCCGCGAGCATTATAGTTCTACGCTTTCAGCCGGAAAAAGCCACAATAAAAACCGGCACATCTTCTAATGCAAACGTCGATCCTTCTCTGGCCCGTTCCGAGTCCCAGACATTCAAAGAGGAGAGCGGCGAGCTAAAGCAGTATGAATCCTTCTCAGACAAACTCCAGCTGGTGGAGAGAACCAAGGCTACGGAGAGGCGTTCCGTGGGGCAGTTGAGGGCACGTTGGGATCCCTATCTCGGACGTTTAGTTGGAGATTTTGAGCCAGGGGAAGTGGTGGCCTTTTGTGTGCTCATCCTCCTGGTCAGCTCTGTGTCGCTTTGTGCTGTGGTAATATTCGGAAGCAAACCACTCGAATTACCACTGTGGAGCTCATCAGTGCTGATTGTGATTTTTAGTTTGGCTTTTGTCATCAGTTTAGCTCTTATATGGGCTCATGAGCCGCAGAGAAACACCAAGACATTCCAGGTAAGCTAAATGTGTGTGTGTGTGTGTGTGTGTGTCTGTGTCTCATACCATCTGTGATATTGTATATATCATAATGTGTTAAACTGCATTGTTTTGCATTATATTGCCCTTAAAGGGTGAGGGTGGCTTAGAAATTTACAAGCGTCTGCTTTGTCCAGCCTATTTTCAAACCGTGCCTGTATGTCTGTCTATTCGGACTGGGAAATTGTTTGCAAATTAACAATTTAAGTAATCCTGAAAATATTCCATAAACGGATATAAAGAGAGCTGGTAAAGACACATGATGCCTGTCCTTGGCTCAGTTCTTGTATCCAAGACAGAAAGTTTAGTAGTAAGTCCTCTTCGTCAGCCCCATGATTGGTATCTCTTGTTTTAATGCTGTAATATGTTGATATTCAAGATCGAGAAAAGTTTAATTTCTGCTACAGACCACTGTACATTTTACCTCAAAATCCTTCCACCTTATGTAACATCGTAGCTTCAAAGCCATTCTCAAAATCCATGTTTTAGTGTTTGGTCAAATCTTACACCACTTTTTGAAAATGCAGAAGCCTTGTCCCCACTATTTCAAAGTTTACTGCACTCCGCAACTTTTCAGACGCTATCCACTTGTGTTTAAAGCATGTAGATGTTATTGCTTTCCTTCGAATGTACCTTAGTATGGTATAACAATGTACAATATTTAATTACAGATTCTCAAAAATAGGAATTCTTACATTGGGTCAACTACCATATTTTCAATTTGGATGGAAAATGTAACTCCCTGTACTGAAGGAGCATTCTAGGGATTTTGATGGACCCAGGCAAAAATCTGAAAGTTGCATAGTGCAACTTTAAATCTAGAGAGTAGAGTTAAGCCAGATGAGTGCATGTTTTGACACTAAATGTGTTTTTCCCAACGTTAGGTTCCATGCGTTCCACTGACTCCAGGCGTCAGTATCCTCGTTAACGTGTTCCTAATGATGAAGCTTAGTGCAATGACCTGGATCAGATTTGCTGTCTGGATTGGTGTAGGTAAGAATACTCACACATGCCTTGACTTTTTTGTGACTTTTCAGTCCATTAAATACATTCAATGCTTTCCCTTACATACTTGAGCAATTAGTAAACGCTGAATGTATTTGGAATCTCTACTTTCTGGGTAATATGAAATAGTTTAAAACATTAACTATTACAACCACAATTAAAACTAAAACAATAAATAAAATATTAGACCATAATGGTTACTATTCAAATTGAGGATTTTAGTTTTCTTTGTTGTAAAGTATTATTACATCAATGGGAGTCCTACTTTTGGTTAGGCTACACTTCAGTCAGTGGTGCTCAGCATTTGCCTGGTCACTAAGGGGATCACCGTGGAAACAGATTATGTGCATTAGCTCGGGGCTTTTCACCATCACTAAACCATTTAAACATGACTCTCCGCCGCAGCAGGTTAACAGGATACTCATTTCACCTGACAGCACATTAAGGCCTGTCTCAGACCTGCTTTCCCTGGGGAAGGTGAGGTTTTCTGTTCTCATAATCAGAAAGTCCTCCGTCCAGGAGGCAGAGGCTGAGGATGTTGGGGCGGATACTTCCATCTCCCTGGCCGAGGTCACCAAGGTGGTTGGCAGCCTCCATGGTGGCAAGGCGCCGGGAGTGGATGAGATCCGTCCTGACTATCTAAAGTCTCTGGATGTTGTAGGACTGTCTTGGCTGACACGTCTCTGCAACATCGCGTGGCGATCGGGGGTGGTGCCAATGGAGTGGCAGACTGGGGTGGTGGTCCCTCTCTACAAGAAGGGGGACCGGAGGGTGTGTTCCAATTATCGTGGGATCACACTCCTCAGCCTCCCCGGTAAGGTCTACTCCAAGGTACTGGAGAGGAGGCTACGTCCGATGGTCGAATCTCGGATTCAGGAGGAGCAGTGTGGTTTTCGTCCCGGTCGCGGAACACTGGACCAGCTCTATACTCTCCATCGGATACTCGAGGGTTCATGGGAGTTCGCCCAACCTGTCCACATGTGCTTTGTGGATTTGGAGAAGGCGTTCGACCGTGTTCCCCGGGGTGTCCTTTGGGGGGTCCTCCGGGAGTACGGGGTCCGGGGTCCTCTGCTGAGGGCTGTTCGGTCCCTGTATGACCAGAGCCCGAGCGGTGTTCGCATTGCCGGCAGTAAGTCAGACCTGTTCCCGGTGCATGTTGGCCTCCGCCAGGGCTGCCCTTTGTCACCGGTTCTGTTCACTGTATTTATGGACAGAATCTCTAGGCGCAGCCAGGGGCCGGGGGGGGGTCCGGTTCGGGAACCACAGGATTTCATCTCTACTTTTTGCGGATGATGTCGTCCTGCTGGCTCCAACGAACCAGGACCTACAACATGCACTGGGACGGTTTGCAGCCGAGTGTGAAGCGGCTGGGATGAGAATCAGCACCTCCAAATCCGAGGCCATGGTGCTCGACCGGAAAAAGGTGCCTTGCCCTCTGCAGGCGGGTGGAGAGGTCCTTCCTCAAGTGGAGGAGTTCAAGTATCTCGGGGTCTTGTTCACGAGTGAGGGAAGGATGGAGCGTTAGATTGACAGGCGGATCGGTGCAGCGTGCGCAGTGATGCGGTCGCTGTATCGGACCGTTGTGGTAAAGAGGGAGCTGAGCCGAAAGGCAAAGCTCTCGATTTACGGGTCAATCTTCGTTCCCTCCCTCACCTATGGTCATGAGCTGTGGGTAATGACCGAAAGAACGAGATCGCGGATACAAGCGGTCGAAATGAGCTTCCTCCGCAGAGTGGCTGGGCGCTCCCTTAGAGATAGGGTGAGGAGCTCGGTCACACGGGAGGAGCTCGGAGTAGAGCCGCTGCTTCTCCACGTCGAGAGGAACCAGTTGAGGTGGCTCGGGCATCTGTTCAGGATGCCTCCTGGACGCCTTCCTGGGGAGGTGTTCCGGGCACGTCCCACTGGGAGGAGGCCCCGGGGAAGACCCAGGACACGCTGGAGAGACTATGTCTCTCAGCTGGCCTGGGAACGCCTTGGGGTCCCCCCGGACGAGCTGGAGGAGGTGTGTGTGGATAGGGAAGTCTGGGCGTCTCTGCTTAGACTGCTGCCCCCGCGACCCGGCAACGGATGAAGCGGAAGAAAATGGATGGATGGATGGATATTCAGAAAGGCTAGGTTTCTTACTATCAGGAATCTTAACCACATTACATCCGCAAAAGTCCCCAATGTGCACAAGACAAGTACATAAATAAAACAAGGTTAAAAGTAAAATAAAACAATTGAAATGTATTTTGCAAATTAAATGTATCCTGTATTGTTCCCCAATGTATTGCCTTCCCTTGGTCTGTATGCATTCTCTGAGCAATTCTAATACCAACATGTCATTGTCATCACAGAGGTCCCACTGTTGTTGTTTGTGTTTGTAGGAATCGTGGTGTACTTTGGCTACGGGATCTGGCACAGTAAGGAGGGAAAGCGGGAGCTGCACGCTGCAGACATGGCGGCCCGTTACGTGGTTCTTCCCAGTGGAAGTTTAGTGGAAACAGTGCAGTCAGTGCAGCCTGAAGGGCAGGCGGAGCCCTCTGCCCTCAGCCCTGCCCCTACAGGCGACTTTCAGGAGAAGAGATGATGTGTACGCACTATGCTCCAAACTACTGCCTTGTTTACACAGTTTACTCGTATTCCTTGGTGTTAGAACTAAAAGTGGGTAAAATAGCCAAAGACAAAGATTACTTTAACAATTAAAATGTGCAAGTAAAATCTGTTTTTTGAGAAAATCTTGAAAGTACTTTTGAGTCCTGCAATATTTGTGTTCAACGAGAGGAAAATATAAATTGTGTTTCCAAAAGATATTCTAATAAAAAGACAATTTGTTATCTCTTCATTTGCAAATATGTATTCTCCAAATAAAATGAAAACTGAAAATTGTGAAGATACAGCAATACCCACCTCTGGTTTTAACAGCCCCCTCGCTCCCTTTAGTGTGAAGCCTGCCACGTTCTGTACTCGTTCACAGGGCGAGACGCTCGCTCTTTCTCTCTTTGTAATCTGTAAAACTTGTAATAATCGAATGTACAGTAGAGCTTTACTGCCCTGTAAAACCCAGCATCACAAATGTCTTCTGTTTTTATCTATTTTTTTGTACACACTTGTACATGATACAACCAAACACCGGGTTTACTATAATTAACAGTTATTATAATCAGTAGAGTATTGTTTTAATCCTGGTAGTAAAAATGCAGTTGTTTAAATTTAGCCTTATTTAAATACCTTCTCCCACTGTGTCCTCAATATATATATATATATATACTCTCTTAGACATCTATCAGTATTTATTAAGTAAACGACACAATCATCATTGTCTTATATTTGCCAGTGAGTTAACCACTTGCCTCTATCAGATTTGCCTTAGGGGCAAAATATGCTGCACAGACTTCAATATTCAAACAATCTGTATATGTGTTTTGTACACTGTCATATACTTTGTAATAATCCATGGATAACTGAGCACATTTAAATGTAGGCACAATGTCCCTTCAAGTTACTTAGTCCATGTTTTCATAATATCCATGTTTATTTATTTTTCCCATCACATTTCAGCATTTCGTTTTATATATGCATGTTGTCCTTTGTCCTTTATCTGTATCCGGCCTTGTTTATATGCCCTAAATACATATTTTATCTATATAACTCTCTAGCTTAATTATGCTTAAGTTTGTTGTAATTTTCTGATGTTGCTATTATTTATTGTCTACATATAAGTAGACTTGTCTGCTGTTTACTGTGTAGGGTCTCACGTCTCTGCGAGACATAATCCCATCAGATTTGCAGCAGTCCCCTGTGATCACTTTGACCTAGATTAGAGAAAAGCACACAATATGTGACAATATTCCCACACCCCAGTCTTTACTTCTAGCACCTATTGTGTTAAAACATCTTCTTTGATTTTGTTTTATGGAAATCAATGTTTGTTTGTTTTTTTGGTTTTTATATCTAGTTTGCATGTGACCAACCCAATCGCCTTAAATATTTCAGATTTTTAAATGTCAAAAGTCCTATTTTACACCAAATCTATATGTAATGGCAGAGAATGTATAGTGAGTAACATATTGTTCAAATGGCTTTTAGGATTGAGGGTAAATTTGCACATTGAAGTCTAAGAACATGTTGTGTTATGCTTTTGTTGTCGGGGCTTGAAATAAATGTTCTGTGGCGCTTCTGAAGCCTCCTACTCATATTCTGTCTTTTCGTGCACAGTTGACCCAGTTCTTCTCTCACTCAGGAACTGTTTTACTCTGTACAGCACACCATGGTCCCTCATGTTTTAATGTCAACACAAAAATACTCAAAATAAATGTTTTGAATCAGCTTTGGTGTGTTTTATATGAAGTTGAAGGTAATTTGACAAATGGAAGATTTGGATCACATATATATGTTAACGACTTGTCAATACATAGTTTTTTTGTTGTTTGTTACAAACTCTGACACTGAGTAAACAAGGTTGAGGAAACCGGACATACTTGATTTGCTCCTCATGTAGCTTTGCAAAAAGTCTTCATAAAAACAAAACACTTTTCTCTATATTTGCCTCCCGTGTTCCTAAACACAGGATATAGTATTGAAAGTTGGGATAAAATACTCCTAACTCCTCAATTTACCCAAAAGGTAACTTTATTGATCTTTGCAGAAAAGTCCCATTGAGATATCGGGAAATCTGTTTTTCAGGTTTGTAGGTGAGTCCTGAATGTTGCCCGCATTGGGCAGAGACTTTGAAATCTGAAAACCCTACTGACTTTGAAAACAAAAAACTCTACTGTTCAGTTAATTAGGAGTGACATACCATTCCCATCTTTATTGGTATTGGATATTGATCTATATTTTATTCAGAATTCAGGTGTTCCAAATGACGCCATTTACCAGCACAACAACGAGGGAATTCAACTCTGTCCTCAAAATGGCTGGTGTGGTTGTTGGTTTTCATTCCAACCAAGCAGGAACAGACCAAGGAGTTCTATATTCCTCTAAAAACTGCACACAAACAATTTTTTTTTTGAAAAACTGCTTGTTTCAAGGTTTTGAAATCATCAATCATTTGTATGTGTTCAAGCCCTTGGTGACTTGGTGCAATGATGATCCTATTCAGTGAGAAACACTGAATAAACTATGTACCAACTAACATCCTGGTGAAAAAAGTCTGTTGCTGGAGCACGCCTCCCTTTGAGGCCCTTTGAGGCCCTTTGAGGCCAGCCCTACAGCAGAAACCCGTCAGTGTTTGTGAGATTCGGCCGAGTCTTCAAATGAGATGTTTACTTTTGTAAACTGTCTGTTTACATAGGTATATGCACTTTGTTCCACCCCTCCCATATAATAACACCTGTTTAACAGTTACTCAGATCAACAAATGTACTTGTCAACGTTTATTATCAATATCTAAGGCACATAATATATAGATGATTCCAGTTAAAAATGTAAAATATAAACACACATCTTTTAGCTAGATTACTTTTATAAAACTAATTTTGTTCATACCTCCATTGTCTATAAATAAATAAAATCACTTTCGTCTTTGTTTTAAAGGTCTGGAGTGAAATGGCAAGGTGCTCTTCTCTGAAGTTTTAGCCGAGGATGAGCGGAGTTGTAGCGTCTGAAAGTGGAGTTGCACGGAGGAGAGAGAGGAGGCAGACATTCGATCCTCTGTTGCAACTGATTTCAGATCCCTTTCTCCTCCGGCTTCCTTCCTGTTGGTTCTGTATCGCTGAAGCGCCTCGTCACTGCCTCTTGGTCTGCGGCAGATGAAAAAAAAAACAAGGGATAAGTACCGGCAATCAATTTCCATCCGCTTCTATGGCGGATGGAAATTGATTAAAATTCTACACTCTACCACAATATCCTACACTAGTCTTTCTTGTATGGCACTCGTCGGACATTCTTCAGCTCCTCTCCAGTCGTTCCATATGTTTTGAGGTTCCTGTAATTGTTTAATGCAAAACTTTCAAATGTTTGCAAATTGTGTAAATCTTTTACATTGTATAACTAATCACTGACTTACTCACATTGGTTTGTGTTCTCTCCTTCACCTTCAGAAGGCTCCTTTGCAGAGTGGTGTTCTCCTGCTCCAGAATGTGAATGCGGAGGCAGTTTGCCTTGATTTGTTGCTCCATGTCCGTAGTCACGTTGCCTGTGCCTTTAAGAAGACAAGACATCATTCCCTTCTATATTTTTATGATAATGTAATGTATGGGTGTTTTCACAATTAAGTGGCAATTATAGTATCCGGACTTTAAAACGTTATAACTCAAAAACTAAAATTACTATCATAGATTAGAACAAATGTTTCAAACACAGACATAACAAAGAGATATATTGTGGATAAAATCAAAATTAAGTGTAAAAGACCAGATCAGCCTCTGATTTGATAATTCTACTGTGACTCCAGTTGCATAGAAAATAAAAGGTTATCAGTAACAGCGGCAGATAAACTCCCACAAGATTAGAATGGCTAACACTACATCAGTAAATCCCTTGATTTAAACAGGAATCATTTTTTTAATTTTTTTTAACTGACCCTTGAAAAATGTGTAACGTACATTTTTTTCTAAAAATTAAACTTGAGAAAAAAATGATTGTCTGGTTTACTTGGTTTACTTACATTTAATCGGTTTTGTATGAAAGTAATGACTTTGTTTCTACTTTATGTAACAAAGGTTAATCAAATGTGGACATCTGAAAATATGTAACAAACTTCTGTGTAGCTCATTCCGTCAAAGGCGTCACGTCCGTTACACAGATGAACAGAGCCGCTATCGAAAATGTTACTAATTTCTAAAACAGTTATCTTCATATACCTGTTGTAAAATGTAAACACTCACTTTGTGCTTGGGCCTGAGGCAGTGGGTACAGGTCTGGGAAAGCCACCAAAAGTCGTTCCCTCTCCGTGCAAGCTGTTATTTGTTGTTCCAGCTCAGCTACAGTGTTTGCCAGACTGCTCATCTTTGAACGGAGTGTCTCTTTGTCCATTTCCAGTTTCACACAAGACTCCTTTATTAAAAGAGTTAATTGGTCTAGGGTAAGGACTTGAGAATGCATACAGCTAATAACACAATATTATTTTTAGGTGCCAAAAGTCTTAGGTACTTAAGTATAAGTACAGATAGACAATATAGTATAAACATTAATTCTGGAAACATTAGAAGTATTTAAACTATTCACTTACTTTTACGTGTTTTTATGCCCTATACTGCTCAAAAGAATTGCCTCTGATGCCATAAATAAAGTATTCTGTCTGATTCTGAATCTACTGTATGTTTCCTTGTTTGCTCACTTGTTGTTGGTTGAGTTGGACTTGTAGCTGCTCTCTCTCCTCTGACAGTTGCTGTATTTGATTGTGAAGCTCTATCTGTTTCTCTTCACTTTCTCCCAGCTGCCTCTGCAACTCTTCACACTCTTCATCCAACGAATTCACTTGATCCACAAGAGATTTCTGTTTGCCCTGAGTCGCCTATGAGTTCAAATATAAATAATGCATAACATGATTAATTGGAGTTTATATCCCGGTATATGGAAGATGATCAGAGAGATGGAGACTTGCCTCTTGCTGGCGACATGCACTGTTGTATTTGGCTTCTTCTTTGTGCAAACACAGCTGGAGTTCTGAGATATCAGCCTGTAACTTTTGTGTCTTGTTTTGTAGTTGGAGTTTGCAGCTTTCGTTTTCTTTTAGCAAGAGTCTGATCTTCTCCTGGAATGAAATGTTTTCTGCTTCTACAAAAATGTGTAAATAAGAACACTGGTTACATCATTAGAAGTGACCTGTGATTGTTAAAATGCATATGAGAATCAATTTATGTTACCCAAGGTTTTAATTATTTCCAGTTGCTCAGCCACTTTCTTTGCTAAACTTGAATTTCTGTCATCCAAGGACAGGATTTCTGAAACAAGTAGCATCAGATTTACCAAAAAAATGCAATTTTTTATGTCAATTAATCACACTGCACCTCTTTGGTGTTTTTGTTGCTCTTCTTGTCCCCTCTTCTGTGTTTCCGCAACAGATCTCTGTGCTTTTTGCAATGAAAACTCAAGTTGGACAGTGGTGGCCTGGTAGTTCCCAACCTTTTCCTTTAGTTCACTGCGTAGTCTTTTCATATCAGACTTTAACATATTTTTTTCTGTTTCAACAGTCACTAGCTTGGCTTTGAGGGGCTCCACTATCCCGCGCACTTCTTGTAAGTGTTTTGCCAGGCGCCTCAAGTCCCTGTTTTCCTCTGCTCCCCATTGAGCAATGTCAGTTGCAGTCATTTGACCTAACTCTACAGTGTCCTGCACCGAGAGGGACAGCGGCTGCAGTGAAGAAGGCAAACCCTCACTTTGGAATAGCTCGATTAGTGCTCCTCCAGTCTTCCTCAAAACGAACTGAGTTTGATAACAGGCATCACACGGGACGAGACATGATTCAAATGTCTGAGAGCCGACATTTTTAGTGTTCACTTCTTGAGGTGGTGTAGTGCTTTGGGTCAAGCTGCCTTCACTATTATTCTGTGGCCAAGAAGACAAAAGAGAGCTCGTGGAGTATTTTGAAGTAGAACGAAGGTCACTTCTTGAATTTGGACTTGACTCGAAAGAGGACAACGCATCATTACAGACTGTTTGTTTTTTATACGACACCTAAGGAAAGAAACAATGGATGAATAAATTATTAAACATCCAAGGGGTATCAGTGTACATACCTTATATGTAAGCAAATTACTCCAGTAATTTCTAACCACAAGCCCAAGTGACAAAAATCCTTTCTCCTTTGTTTGATTTCTCTTACATGACTTTGACAGCTGCTCCACAAAAACATTGAAACTTTGGAGAAGAAGCAGGAGTCTACAAACACATAGATTCATTATAATATTTTATAGCAATATTGGTTACATTTCTGGAGTTAGTAAGTATTGCCATGATTGTATACCAAATAATCAAGTAGAATTACAAAATAATATTTTGTAACTTTTACAAGTTATTACTTTGTAAAACTTTGTAACTTTTGCAAAATAATATTTTGTAATTCAATTAAAAATACAGTCAGAAAATGTGTCCATGCCCCAAACATATTGTTTGTGTTGTTCCCATTCTGATGAAATTGTTATGCAGTAATCAACCTACTTGACTTTATGCACCAAAGTTGAAAAGTTACCTATCAATCACAAGCTCCAGCAAAACAATGTGAGAGTGCTGATTGAATGTAGCTTCTCCATGTATGAAGTCGTAGTGGTCCAACAGGGCAACCATGTCCAGATTACAGGACAGTTTGTCGGGGAACTTCCAGGAGGAATAGCGCACAGGACCCGTTCGCGAAAACACGTCTAAAATGGCGCCTTGTAAATCCACCAGATCCTTCCGCAGACTCTCAATACAGTCCTGACGGCCCAAAGATTCAGTCATGACGGAGTGGCAGAAGATGTGCAACCTCGGGTGCCATGGGTGTTCCTTGTTGTTATACCGTTACCCTGGTAACGAGAGGGAGAAAGACTACAGCGTCCAGGATGCCTTGCGCTTTCCTACCGGAAGTAGTCGTCCGCCATTGTGCTAACGTCTCAGAAAGCACGACGCGAAGTAAGTGTTTTAAATGGATAATTTTGATGTTTTTACTCATTCCATTCTTTCTAAATGGTCGTTGCAGTGTGTATTAAGTATAAATGTGTTGTTTCTGGCTAGCAGAAACAACCCATCTTCAATACAATCCGCCATGCCGCCTGGGCCTGTCCAGATTGTTACCCCAGAGCCTAGCAAGGTAAGTTATGAAGCTTGTGTTATATTATTAACCTTTATTTTAGCAGGGCTATTCATATCCGCTGATGTCCTAGAACTACCTAATTATTACGGTGTTACGTACACTGTTAAGTATCTTTTTAGTTTATTTTGTGGTATTTTTTTGTTTGCCCTTAATGTTTACAGAATGAACCGACCGAGGAAACTCCAGCAACAAAACCCATTGTAGGGATCATCTACCCCCCTCCAGAAGTTCGAAACATTGTGGACAAGACAGCCAGCTTTGTTGCTAGGTGTGCATCTCGTTTATTGCATTTGTTGCATGTATTTAGCTCACAGTGGTTTTACCTTACGCGTTACAACTGAAGAAGATGACAAAGTCTGGGATCGCGTCTTTCATTCAGACAGAAGACATATTTTATTGTCAATGGTAGAGACAGCACGAACAACACGAACACAGAATGCAAGTGTATTATACAGAGCGGAGGCATGGAGACCTCCAATCAGCAGCTTCCACGGTGCCCTGTAGCTTGGCCTTCAGATAGACAAAACAAGGGAAAAGTACAGGCTTCTGCACATTGATAGAATGATGAGTTTAACTTTAACAAAAGTTGCTTCAAAGTGTTATGAAATCTCACACAACTCATAATAATTTTGCAGAAATGGGCCAGAATTTGAAGCAAGGATCCGTCAAAATGAGATCAACAATCCAAAGTTTAATTTCCTCAACCCCAATGATCCATACCATGCCTATTATCGCCATAAAGTCAATGAATTTAAGGAGGGCAAGGCACAGGAGCCATCTGCTGCCATTCCCAAAGTTATGCAGCAGCAACAGCAGCTGCCACAAAAGGTAATAATAATGCCGTATCAATATTAAGTTATTTTAGAATTGCTTGAATGTTGCCAACTCTTTTAATGTATTATATTTACCCATAGGTTCAAGTCATCCAGGAAACTGTGATACCAAAAGAACCTCCTCCCGAATTTGAGTTCATTGCAGATCCACCTTCCATCTCGGCATTTGATCTGGATGTGGTCAAACTCACCGCACAGTTTGTGGCTCGTAATGGGCGGCAGTTTCTCACTCAGCTCATGCAGAAGGAACAGAGGAATTATCAGTTTGACTTTCTACGACCTCAGCACAGCCTTTTCAACTACTTTACCAAACTGGTGGAACAGTATACTAAGGTGCGATGTAGTTTATTGAGCCTGAATTGTAATGAGTTTGAATGAGTTATTTTAACCTTCTTTCCTCCTTGTAGATCCTCATACCTCCAAAGGGCCTTCTCAACAAGATGAAGAAAGAGGCTGAGAATGCCAAAGAAGTTATGGATCAGGTAAACTATTTGCTTCAGACTTGTGAACTGTGTATTAGGGATGCACCAATACAATAAAAGTTGTATAATATCTTAGAGCTATACCAATCTTGGAAAAGTTGTTAAATTTGGTGTTTGTTCTGATTTGGCCATTGGCGATGTCATGAAATAATAAGGGATACACCAATCCAGCTTTTTTGTGTGTAATACAGTACCCGGTACTTTAGTTTTAAATATCTGCTGATTTGTGAATCCCTACTAGTAGTATGACTCCGAACATCATTTTTTTTTACTTATGCCACACATAATATTTAACAATAATGCCTACTAAACATTATTTAACTTGTAGGTGAAGTATCGAGTTGAATGGGCAAAGTATCAGGAGCGTGAAAGGAAAAAGGAGGAGGAAGAAAGGGAGAAGGAGCGTGTTGCGTACGCACAAATTGACTGGCATGACTTTGTAGTAGTGGAGACGGTGGACTTCCAGCCGAATGAACAAGGTGATATCTCAATGTCGCATCAACGTGTCTCATCAACATGTCAATTGTTATATTCATACCGTTTTGTTATGTTCACAGGTCACTTCCCACATCCGACAACACCAGAGGAGCTTGGGGCGCGTATTCTCATCCAAGAGCGCTATGAGAAATTTGGGGAAAGCGAAGAAGTGGAGATGGAGGTTGAGAGTGAGGATGAAGATGATGAAAGAGAAGTTCGACGTGAAGTACAGCCCTCTCAGCCTGACCAAGACACACAAGTGCAAGACATGGATGAGGTATAAAATATGCTTTATTTACCTGATAAGATTATCATATAAATTTAGATATATATTTCTAAAAATAGGGCAAAAAAGTGTAAGGTCCCATAAGTTTTAAGATGCCTGTCTTTCAGTTTGGTCCGAATGGATATTTTTCCCATTAAGGATTTGTAACATTTGTTATGTGGTTGAGTCCTATTAATTGCATGCATTTTTTTAGGTTCATATGGTCAGACTCTCAAATTATTCTGTTTTCTTGTTTCTATAGGGATCTGATGATGATGATGAGGGAATGAAGGGACCAATGCCTCCAGAGACTCCTATGCCACCACCTCTTCCACCAACACCAGATCAAGTTATTATTCGCAGAGATTATGATCCCAAAGGTATTGTTCATATAAATTACTGTTGGGTTGTCTACAAAATTCTGAATTTTTCATTTATTAATTTTACCATTTTTGTAGCTTCCAGACCACAACCCTCAGTTGCTGTCCCAGATGAGTACCTAATTTCACCCATTACTGGAGAGAAGATTCCAGCCAGCAAGATGCAAGAGCACATGCGTATTGGCCTGCTAGATCCACGCTGGAGAGAACAGAGGGACCGAAGCATCCGAGATAGACAAACTGAGGATGAGGTGTACGCTCCTGGTCTAGATATTGAGAGTAGTCTGAAACAACTGGCAGAAAGACGTACTGATATCTTTGGTGTTGAAGAAACTGCCATTGGTAAAAAGATTGGGGAAGAGGAAATTCAAAAACCAGAGGAAAAGGTGTGTAGCTCTAACATAAAATTGTGTGATCTTAAACCTCTCAATATATTAATACAGTATATATTAATATAATATTAATTTCCTGGGATTAATAAACATCTAGGTTACATGGGATGGTCACTCTGGAAGTATGGCACGCACACAGCAGGCAGCGCAGGCCAACATCACTCTCCAAGAGCAAATTGAAGCTATCCATAAAGCTAAAGGACTGGTTGGAGAAGATGACGCCAGGGAGAAAATTGGCCCGAGTAAGCCCAATGAAATTCATCATTCTCCCATGTCTGGCTTATCTTTATCCAAACCTATGTCCATGCCTCGTCCACCTCATGTAAGTTATTCTGAATGCAACAATTTGTATTTATTTTTGTGTGGTTGATACAGTAATCAATTTTTGACCATTTTTTTGTAGGTGCCCCCTCCAGTCCGTACCACATTGCTTTCTGCTGTACCTGTCATTCCAAGGCCACCTGTACCCCCTATTGTGCGCTTGTCCCCCATGCCTCCCATGCTTCCTCCAACTCGCATAAACGTGGTCCCCATGCCGCCATCAGCTCCTCATCTTATGGCGCCCAGGCCACCTCCAATGGTGGTTCCAACTGGTAAATTTTAAACAAATCCTATTCAATGTAACATAAACCATCTGAAACATACAAAACTCAAAAAAAAAATTCAATGTCTGCCTTTTCCAGCATTTGTTCCAGCGCCACCTTTACCACAGCCTCCTGCTCCATCACCTCAAGTGCACCCACCTCCACCTCACGACGATGAACCACTCAACAAGAAAATGAAGACTGAGGACAACCTGATTCCCGAGGAGGAGTTTCTGCGCCGAAGCAAGGTATCTTAAAAATTTTGAAACACGCACACAGGTTAAAATTAAATGCTTTATCATGCATCGGTTTTTACATTTTTAGGGTCCAGTGGCAGTCAAAGTACAGGTTCCCAACATGCAGGATAAGACTGAATGGAAGCTGAACGGCCAAGTGCTGAATTTCACTGTTCATCTTACTGACCAGGTGGACAATTTCTTTATTTATATGGGACTGACTAGTGTTCTTTGTACACATATGCTGCTAATACTAATACTAATACTTATACAAAATCTGCACAGGTCTCTGTTATCAAAGCTAAGATCCATGAAGCAACTGGTATGCCTGCTGGAAAACAAAAGCTTCAATATGAGGTATTTGTCTTTTGTCACTTGGTTTCCATGTCTCATTGCATGTTACTAATATAATTACTTCCACTTTCCAGGGAATTTTCATCAAAGACTCAAACTCTCTTGCTTACTACAACATGGTCAGTGGGAATATCATTCATCTGGCTTTGAAAGAAAGAGGAGGGAGGAAGAAGTAAACTGGTAATTGATGCTGATATACTCAGTGTTGTGATTTTTGTTTTAACATTGTCAATATAGAATATTGTCATCCATACATGTTTTCTGGTATATTGCATTAAACAACTTATTTTTGACAAATACAATACCATTGTTGATTAATAAAATTCTGTCATCTGTCTTGACTGATTTGCATGGCCAATCTGTTGTGACTTTCGGTATATTATGACTGTATTAGCAGCCATTGGACATTACGCCTGAACCTGTTCTGAATCTAATTTTGAGTGAATGGAGCAGATAAAAATTGTAATTCAGTGTAGATTGATTGTTACCTGGGAAATTTGAAGTTGTATTACAAATAATGCAGATAAAAGTGTTGTGCCACAGAAACAATGTCATCTAACTTAATAACTCAGGCTATGCAACTGAGTGGGCTATTACTCACTTATCTTCATATTTAACTTGCCCGTCAGGTGTAATTTTAGTGCTCTTCGAGAACTAAACCAAAACACAACTGTTTTACTTGATGTTACCACTAGGAGTTGGGCAACACTGTTCTAACCCAGGACAGCGGTCTGCTCCAAGCGAAATCTGTCCATGTCTCTCGGCAGGATGACAGCGATGGCAGTCACTCTTATTATCGCTCTCTTTTAACGCCATATCTGACCCTGGTTCTGTAATGTTCGCCATGTTTCTCAGGTTTAACACAGTTTATGGGAAACTGCGGTCGTGAAGGAGGAGTTTTATTTTTGCTGTGCTGGCACGGTAGACTCAAGTTTACGTTAGCATGCTAGCATTGAAGAAAAAAAATAGCCAGCTAGCAAAGAAACTACCTTTTTTATGTCAAGGGATGTTTCTCGACAAGTTTACGATTTAGAGTGTTTGCCTCAGGTTTTAAAAGTCAGTAGTTTCAAGAAATATGTATTTGATTGCGTTAGATCGGGGAGCATATGGAAGGAAGTGTTTTTGACTTAGGATCATTTAGCCTGGCTAGCTAACTAAAGCTAACTGGATAGCTAACTGTCGGATTAAAATGGCAAATATTGAGAATGGTCGTCAGTCTGCGGACACCAGAAGCATTCGGACTGTCAGTAGTAGCCACATGGACGACGAAAGCTCACTTGGATCCGATTCTGAGATCAATGGATTTACGAGCGAGAGACAGACTGACAAATATGGATTCATCGGTGGGGCACAACAATACTCTGTTGAATCGTAAGTCTATTGACATGATTTTCTTTGTTTTGACAAACTGTTCCTTTTATTGTACTGTTCTGTTTAGGCTATTTCCAAATGTAACTAAACAACATGGACTTTATAAGGTTGTAATTAATTTTCAATTACATGGTTGATGTTTTGGTGTCACTTCATAACAAGCTCCCACAGACACAGCTGCGTGGCACATTTCTTGCAACATTACTGTCACTGATAATGAATTTATATACATTTTTATTGCATCACTTTTATTTTGATACTTGTATGCGTGTATGAAGCAATGCTCCAGCTAACGCCCATTTGTTTTAACACATGACTGTTATTAAATTGTTGCACTCAAATTGATAGTCTCCTTCTCTATGTCCGCTTTAATTCAATGACTAGCATACTTTCCATGTACACTGTTCTGTACATAAAAGGGGCTTTCATCGTGGCCTTTCACTGGGACCTAAATGAAAAGTGACTGCTGTGCCAAGTGCTGCCTTGAAGCTTTTCTGTTTTCTCTTCAGTTTTGGCAGATTTAACCACAGTGCTGGTGCCTCTTTACTGGAGGGCCTCTCTTGGCTCACAACCTTAGACATTCATTCCTTGGTAATAATGATTTGGTAATTCGGGCTGATGCATGTTCTGATACTTCGTATGACTACCATTATATTACAGCATTGGAGGGCTTGTCTTCAGTTTAAAAAGTGCTCCTTTAAAGTGATTGAACCCTGCAATTATAGTCCCTTGCTGATGATATAATTACAGTCTAGTAGAGCAGCAGCCCTCGTCCATAAGGTAATGCAGGGATACCCTTGGTTTAAGGCAGAAACTCTTATGCATTTGGTTTGGTTTGAATTACTAAAAGGGCACATTGCTAATGGAAAAAATATTTTGGTTTGGCGCCTTAACACCATTTACTGTTATAATCTTTTGAAATCTCACTTTTTTTCTTTTTAATGATCCTTTTATTGTTTTTGTATTTTTTGGAAATGGAATCTGCTTTATCAGAAAAAATATGTATGCCTATATTTGTTTATTTATCTTGTATTTTTTTATTTTATTTAGAACAACATTAGCCTTCCTGCCTGTTCAATTTTGCTCTAATATGCTTCTGCATTTAGGCAAATCCCTGAGGGTGACGTCAGCACTCGGTTAGGCCACTCCTAATATACATCGATGGCACAAAAAACTTTTCACAGGTGAAAAGTTATTTTCAAACAGACGTTCCTTGCATTACAGATTTTGGGTCATCGTTTATCTAACTGTTCAAACAGCAACAAGAGGAAGTGCTTTTGAAAACATCCTTGTTAAATAGTTTTTTAAATTTTGCTTCTTTATCTACAGAGCGCAAGATGTGCCTATACAAGTGATCAGGCAACGAGAACTGAAATGGATTGACATGTTGAGCCACTGGGACAAGTGGATGATCAAGAGATTCAATAAGGTCAGTTAACACCTTCATCTAGCACACACAAATAATGGCACTGTACATACATGCTAGTAAAGTCTGTAACTTTGTATTTTGTGTTTGAACACAGCAGTATTATCTTAGGAGCAGTGGAGGGTGAGCGGAAATGAGGACGTATCCAGTCCATTCAAAGCGTACAGAGAAGCTAGCACGCTAGCATATCATCATGCATGCTGCATTATAAACTAATATTTACACTACACGTGTATGACCTTATGCACAATGTCTGTAAATAAGGAAAGTGACACAATAACATGTGGAAGATCCATAAAGCTGTTTGTCCATTGGTGCTACAGGCGTATGTGGATATGATTTCCATGCGCTGTTTGCTGTTTAGTTGTCCAGCAGGTTTTGTCATCATCAGCATATCAGCACCAAGCTTCTGCTTCACTATTCATATGTAGCAGGACAGGACACGACTCATCCTTTATCGCACCACGGGCCATGTCTCACAACAGGGTGGAGTTATGTTGACTTCATAAGAAACCAGCAGCTCTGTAATAAAAGGGCTTCAAAGTATAAGTTATTGCTCTACTTAAGGCTGGGGTTAGGAACATAAGCAGTGGCCTTGGTACTACATGTTTTATCACCCAATTAAATATATTTTACAGAACACGTTTAAAAGTTAATTGTCAATATGTGTAAATTAAGTCATAAATGTGGCAAGCAATCTACAAAAGCTGTCTGAGAAGGACTGCATCTTGCTCCAGTCTTCAATAGAGTATACTGGCTAAAAAATATGATTGCCTATTTTTGGTGTTAGATGTTTGTGATATTGATATGTTCAGTAAAGGTCTAAGACCAACTCCAAATACGAGAACAGATCATTTGACTACTATAGACAAAAAAAAATGATTTTCTCTCAAGGGCATATTTGTACAGTATGTATGAGTTACTGCAGTTGGGGGCAGAACATGTGTGATTTAATACTCAAAAGAATTAAATGATTCTTCTGTTTGCTTAATTTGTCTTTTGTTTTGTCTGGTTCAGGTGAGGCTGCGGTGTCAGAAGGGTATCCCTCCTGCACTGCGAGGACGTGCGTGGCTTTATCTCTCGGGAGGCAAAGTGAAAAGAGAGCAGAACCAAGGAAAGTTCCAGGTCTGAGAGAAACCACTTTCACTTCTCCTTTCCTCTGCACTTTTGACATTTTGTATTCAGTTTCAGGGGTGATTGGCATTTACTTAGGTTTTTCAAAACAAGGATCTGTTATTTGCTTTCTTGCAATGGTTTTAGATTAAGTAGTAAACATTTGATTATTTACTTATTCTTAAATCCCAAAAATGGTTTAATTAAATCAGCAGACTCTTTTTAAACCCCCCTCTATGTGGCTTGCAGGAGCTGGATCGACAGGAAGGCGACCCCAAATGGGTTGATGTGATTGAGAAAGATCTCCACCGACAGTTCCCGTTTCATGAAATGTTTGTGTCACGAGGAGGACATGGGTAATTGTCAATTTTGTCCAATTGATTGTGACAGTTTTCACTGCTGACATTTTGTTTATCTAAATAACCTTTGTGTTTTGTGTGTTGCAGACAGCAGGACCTGTTTCGTGTTCTTAAAGCATATACCTTGTACAGACCAGAGGAGGGGTACTGCCAGGCTCAGGCTCCTATTGCTGCTGTGCTGCTTATGCACATGCCAGCCGAGGTAACAGAAACCACCAGCACATACATTACTTCCTCTTTGCTCAAAACAACAGTCGATAGTTGTGTAGGTCTTGCAATCAGACTTATGTTTTTGTGTTGTGTGAGAATGTAATAATTATGTCATAAGGTTGTATGATAATTTAAAGTCACAAAAAAGTAGTGTAACTATTGCATGATTGTCTTTCTTTCAAAAGGCTTGCTGAGACTTGCTATTTTGATTCCATTATCGAGCATTTATAGCAGCCCATGTCCTCACAATCATCACTTTTAAGCACAGTCATTTGTCGTGATTATACTTTACACTTAAAAGGCATGGAGATTATAATGCATTTTATTTAGTCTTTTTCAATCTGTATCTGTAATGCTTTGGATAAAATATTGATTCAGAAATTAAAACCAATTGTGCAGTTAAAATCCTCTCATCTATACTTCCTCAGGATGCGTTCTGGGGACTGGTCCAAATCTGTGAAAAGTATCTTCCTGGATACTACAGCCCTGGCCTGGTAAGACAGCTCCACACAATTCTCTCATATCATCCCTCCAAAGTTATTGTCTTGTATAATAATGTTATAGGCTGAATTGGTTTATATATTTTCTTGTTTATTTGACTTTGACAAACATTACCAAACAATAAGTCATTGTAATCATTGCCTAAATATGCATAAGGTATTATTAAAGAATGGCTTTACATGCATACCAAAGATTAAAAACAAGTTGATGCAAGAGTGGTGTAATCCTGCACAGTGGGAAACTTAAACTAATGCATTTGCACTGTTTATGTACCATGCACTAGTGTATCTAGTTTCACACTAGAGACTGTTTTAACACAATGGCTTTTATTTTGCAGGAAGCCATTCAGTTAGATGGAGAGATACTGTTTGCACTGCTGCGACGTGTTTCTCCGATCTCTTATCGTCATCTGGAGAAGCACAAGATTGACCCTATTCTCTACATGACGGAGTGGTTCATGTGCGCCTTCTCCAGGACCCTGCCCTGGGCCTCTGTGCTGCGCGTATGGGACATGTTTCTCTGTGATGGTAAATCGGATCGCCTCACATCATTTGCAAATATCTCTTATAATAACATTGAATCTAATAACAATCAAGAATGAGACTACTTTTTCTTTCCCAGGTGTAAAGATTATATTCCGAGTTGGCTTGGTTCTGCTGAAATGCATGCTGGGTACTCGAGAGAAACTGAAGAGCTGCCAAGGCCAGTATGAAACAATGGAGCTGCTCAGAACCATAGAGCCGCGCTACATGCAGGAGAGCTTCCTTGTCAGAGAGGTACATTAGAACAAGCTTTGTACTTTATCTTTAAAGGGGACATAACATTCATGCATCTTTGAGTAATGTAAACTCTCTTATACACGAGACACCGCGACACTCCGCTCACTCTTCTGACCTTGGCCACCATCCACTTCCACAGTTTCTACTTGTACTTTGTAATTTTGGTGCAGTCAGGAAAAATATATCTGCATTTGTTCTGCTGTGAAGCTTGATGTGAGTTTGATGTGACCAGGTTTCACTAACGTCACCTGATTCAATTTATCTAAATATTATGATCTCAAATGCACTATTTACATAATATTGAGTCTTTGGTTGTAGTAGTATATCAGAGGAGCATTGTATGTTCTCTGTAACACCACCCCAGTCTCTCTCCTTCTACATAATCTGTTATTTACATCAGCATTGTAACTGGTGAGTATGCTTTCCAGGGATTCTAAATGACATGAATTCCAACCAAACCAACCAGCTTAAAGATAATTTATGTTTTCATTTGCTTTTGTTGACAAAAGTCAGGCAGTCTAGAAAAGGTGTCTTCCTGACATTCTATATATTTTTCTTGTCTGCTGCTATAACTATGAAGTTAATGTTTCAAGAGCTGTAAAAGTCACGAACAAGGCATGTGACTGAACTGTACCAACACTTATAATCCTGAAATAATGCAATGTGCCTCTGTTGCCATGACGCTGACCCTGACAATGACTGTTTGCAAGTGCTGCGGAGGAAGTCAACACAGCAGTATGGACAAACTGTTGGTCAGTGAGGGAGCCTCTGTCTGCAGTAACAATACTCGGCCTTATGTGGCTGACACAGAACCAGAGGAAGCCCTTTTGGCATTTACTGTCATAAGTTCACATTATCAGGCCAGTGGAAACGAGGAAGCTGCATAGTTTCCGCCAGAGGCAAACTCTTCTGACCCTCTACGAATCACACACTGTATATTTATTAAGTTGTTTTTTCTTTCTTGGTTTTCCAACATCTATTATTATATTATATTTATTATTTTGATGAGATATAGTTTAATTACTTTTCTGGACCAAAATGAGCCCATCTTGTTTTAGTACATTTTGTTCAGTACACACATAAGAAGCTACTGTATTTATGTTATGTTTCTTAAGGTGTAATTATAATTTTAACTAATGGTGATTGCTCTTGTGAGTTTACTGTGGGAGCAAAACTCCCTCTGGGATTTGAAAGTACTTATCTCGTTCCAGTGAATTATTACGTTTTTACGAATGTGTACAAAAGTTTTTCCCCCATACACTGTATTTTTTGTGATAGATTCTGGAGGTGCCAATAACTGCCCGTGATGTGGAGAGGGAGAATCACAGCCAGTTGAAGCGCTGGAAGAAGAAACGCGGTGAGCTGAACTTCAAATCTCCTCCCAGAATGCACGGCGCACGGATCATAATGCTCGCAGAACCGCCGCGCAGACAGGACCTGCAGCAGAAACCAACTATCGTCTTGGAGCAGCCCTCACCGCAGATCAAGAACGGCAAAGGGGACAAGAAAAGCAAGAAGAGGAGCATGAAGAAGGCCGCGCCCGTGGAGGAAATTCCCAATCCGTACCAACTTCCGAATGACCCTTCACCCCCACTCTCTTCCAACCCATCACCCCCACTCTCTTCCAACCCATCACCCCCGCCCACTTCTAACCCATCACCCCTGCCCACTTCTAACCCATCCACCCTGCCCACTTCTAACCCATCAACCCTGCCCACTTCTAACCCATCACCCCTGCCCACTTCTAACCCATCACCCCCTCCTCCTGCCTTTGAACCCTCCCCGCCGCCCTCCGAGCCGCAAACCCCACCTGCTCCACACACCAGCCCTCACGCAGAGACTGTGCCAGAAACTGTGCCAGAGACCATGCCAGATGCCGCCCCTGGACCACCTCTCCAGGAGCCTTCGGTGCCTCCTGTTTTAGACCCTCCTCCCTCTGCCAAAGAAGCCCACCTCCAGGCCTCCACCCAGAGCCTTAGCAGCACAGAGCAGGACACCTACCTGTAGCTCCGCTCCGCATTAGCTCACGTGTCACAACCATCTGTCATAGAACGGGAGGTTAGAGCTGACATATTGTGCGAAATGAGCACCTTTTTTTTTTTTTGCTTTGTCTTCCCATTTAGTTGTGCGAGTGATTTGTGCGTGTTAATTGTTTCATTTTTATTCACCTGCATTCAAGCTGCCATTGCTTCTTGTTTTTATCGCCACAGAAACACCCCCACTACTCCTTGATGGATTTTTTTCTCTTTATCTGATGATTTGGCGACATCACATGCATGCAATTAGGAATCTGCTATTGTAATCTGCTGCTATGTCGGCTCTTTGTTGTGATTACTTTTATTACTTTGCAAATTATTGAGACATTTTAAACCAACCATTCTAAATGTTTTTTTTTTTTTACAGAATTGTATATTTTGATATACGCAAAAGCTTAAGAAAAGGTACAATAGTATGCTGTTGTCTGAACCCTTGTCGAGGAAATGTTATTGCTTTGCCTTCACTCATAGGCAAAAAAACCAAGGCAAGTTTATTTGTATAACACAGTTCATACTCAAGGCAACTTTGTACTTAACAAAACCGGATAGAAACAGACATTAAAATCATAAATAATCACAGTACATTTAAAACATACAATCCTTTTAGCAGTATGCACAGCTAAAGAGAACTGTTTTTAATCCAGGTTTGAATATTGTCAGCCTCACAATTTCTGGAAGAATGTTCCAGATTTTAACAACATAAATCCAAAATAGATATATTTGGATACATATGTGCTATACTGAAAAGGAGTTTTAGCAAAGCACTAACATCTATGGTGATAAGGAGGCAAACTATCAAAGATTTAAACACAGCAGTCCAACAACCATCTGATATGTATTATTTTTTACTGAAATGTGTGGTCATTTTTTCAAAATGTCTGTATGGAATCACTTCTGAAAAGGTTATTTTTGTATCCCTTGACCCTAAAAAAAAAACAGCATTCATTCAATGTTAAGAGACATTTTACTTTTAAAACGTGACACTTTCTAGAGCTAGGGGTATACACACAAGCGCACCAGCCAAGCACCAGCGGGTCCCAGATATCCACGTCTTCCATTCAAGTATTTTCTATGAACATTTACAGTGTGGACACCACTCTGATTGGGAAGAGGCTTACTCTGAAGTGCCATTGTTGAACTTCTCAAATGTCACTTTGTACAAACGATACTGATGCTTTTGTGACACAGTGCGGAGGTATGACTTCACTTCAACACTTGTGAAAGGATCTGAGTGCTACCATAGCAACAATTCATTTCATGGACACTAGAGGGTAGGATTTGTCTTTCCTGTGATAAGTTTATTTTTGTGTTGACAAGTTTTATATTGCAATTTTGGTTTGAAAGAAGTGTTTTATTAGGTAGATTTGTGACATTCCCCTATCCTTAGTTTATTTATTGATTAGATAACATTACTCTGTGCCACTCACAGTGCTGAGGAATAATGCTGACATTCCTTAGTAGTTTGCTACATTTAGGCTTTGACTTTGCCAAATTATTTTTAATTTTAGAGCACTTTTTTTGTAAGGTATGTGTTTGCAGTTCACCCGATCGATGTTTGGGCTTACATTAACCTCCCTTTAGTGCCAACCAAGATTATATTTTAAGGTTTTTGAAACTTTTGCTAGAGCTTCCAAAGTGAATCATTGGTGTAATTTTGACCGCAACCTGTGACAATATTTGTAAAGGTGTGATTTTTAACAAGTGTTGACTTTTTGAAAAATCTCTTGAACAGACAATCTTTTTACTTCTTACCGTCTTGGTTATGGGAGATTTGAAACAGCACATGCTTTTTTTAATTGATGTCTGTCTTACGTGGCTGCGATTGGCAATAACCTATCCTTGCTGCTTGTCTTACAAATAATTTTATAACCTAATTTAAAGTTTCTTGTGTAAATTGTAAAATATGTTGAGACTATGTATTTTCAGTTTTTAACGCTATACTCCCGAGTAGTGCCATAAACCAGACATTTGCTGACTGACACTATTTCTACAGAACTACCACATTTTATCAAAGTCAAGTTGTACAAATAAAAAAGGTGTAAATCTATTGTTTTCTTTTTTTCCCCTGTGCAACTGTTCAAACATAACACAAATTATTATTACCCTATATATGAACGGAAAGTCCAGCAGATGGAGCTATTGTTTCTTCGAGGTCTGAATCCGTTATACGTACAGCCCTCCAACTTATAGTCCAAGAAATTCATTTTCCCAATTTAAAAAGTTATGCTGAGTACCATTGGCAAGTTTTGGCAGAGATAATTGTGAATCTAATTATAAATCTATTAAAACAGTTGTGTTGGTGGTTTTCATAAATAAAAAAGCATCCAAGTAACAAATCAAACCACAAGATATCATGTTATCTTATATATACTTTTTTAATTTTCCGACTAAAAAAGCTCATTAAAAGACGTGACAGAGGCCAAAAAGCCATGCATGTGAAAGAAGTAGTGCTAAAACTATATGGACTAGTTACATGGATTTTATGACATACTAAATTCAAAGTTAGGGACTCCAGCTTTAACATCTGCTGACATACACATCTATCAGACAGCGCAGCCTGAAATCCTCATTGTTTACGGCTTGGGCAACTTTCCACAGGTCAGCTCTGGTCAAGCTCTTCGTTAGCACTAATGACAGGTTGCTATTCTCTCTGTAATGTACTGTTATAGTGTCAAATGTCCTCACTGGCTCTGCCACTTGGAGGTGTGGACCTTTGCCTCAGGCCTAAAGGAGTTAACTGTAAATCACTACCTGCGTGACCTCTGTGAGACGGCCAAGCCAATTCTGAAAGTCCTGAAGCTCTGGAGGCAACTGCTGACCTCAGATTAAAGCAGCCACTTAATGTTTTCAATAAATCTTGTCAAACGAACCATGCTTATGTAGCCCAAAAAAGTATACTTTCATGTAGGGCTGAGCTATTCATCACATTTCTAACCACAATGTAAATGATGGGCCTACTTAAAAACATGTGTAATTGAAAATAAAAGGGCCATCTGTTCAGTCATGTGTTTGTCTTACCCACTATACGTTGAGCAAAAACACTTTTTTCTACATTTATTAAAGCTTGTGGACATTGGTCATCCCGTTCCCTATGGACCAGTGGCTCCAATGTGTTTGTTATTAACGCATTTAATGTGTTCGAACTGTTCGATTCTCTGATCTATTGTTGGCGAATCAACAACTTTGTAAAGTCCTCCGAGGCGACAGCTGTTGTGATTTAAGACTACACAAAAACAAATTGAATTGAATAGATTACATATTTTCTCACAGATTACATTAGACAGAATAGTGTAGAAAATAATGATGACATTATAAGCCAAAAAATAGTAATTATTGCGGCCCTACCATTTCAGAACCATTAACAGAACCTCATCATGATAATGTGCCAGCAAAATATTTATAATCACATTAATTAAGCACTCCAAAAGATACTACTCCTCCAAAATGTTTACTAACAAACGATGTGTTTTTGTGTGTTGAACTATAGGGCCATGAAACTCCATTACAGACTGTGGATGTTCACGTTAACGGTTAAAGCGGTCTCTCCCAGAGGAATGCATGCACCGTCACGCTTTGCCTCTTTGCATGGGACACCTGGCGCTCATTCAGTGCCACCGTGACATTTACATCTCAAAGAGCCGCGTCCAAGAAGGGTTCCTCTGTCCCTCTCTTCCTTACTCTAGCGATGATCTGATTTATCTCTGCATCAACGGAAATATAGCCCTAGTCCTAGCCCCCTTTAGTGCCATTAAACAGGGGTAGCAAAGATACTTGTGATCCTCGGTGCAAATGCTGGTCAAATACTGCTTTAGCAACAGATGCCCTGGGGTTTACTGACAGAAGCAAGGCAACTAATCTGTGCCATTGTACCTTCTGACCACCAATCATTCACTCACACAACAGACTGAGTGCACTTTGGCCGTCTAATTCATAGGATTCAGAACAATTAGAAATTATGACAGCATCTAAAAACCGTTTTCTTTGTTCTTAAATAGGGTGGTGTATAGATAAGCTGAAGAAAAAAAATATAAGATTGACTTGTTTTACCAAAGAATATGAAGCAATACTGCGCTTGTGAAAAAAAAGCTTCATATCAAGATAAATACCTTATCTTTTAGTAGTCTTGTATGTGATTTCTATTGTCTTTCATTCTTCATTTTACTCTTGAAAGACTCAGACACAACTTTATTTCTCACTTTCTCACACATTTATCACATCCTAATTACATAGTATCCGTGCTACATGAGTTTATAAGCACTTTCCCAACTTTTCAGAGCCCAGAGTGCAGTTTTACAGTCACTATAGCTATATAAAGCAACATCAGTGGAGCAGTCTGGGAAAAAAAGTTTCAGTATGACCAGCCATACCCACACAATTCAACACTAGAAAGTACAAGGTCTGGCTGGTCAGGCAAGGAAAAAAACATGGAGTACAACCACTTAAAGTAGTATTTATGTGCAGTGTAGTAGACCCCAGTGTCACAGTACTTGATGTGGGTGACTTTAGGTATAAGAGGAGAGGGGAGAGGAGAAACAGGAGTGTAATCCAACAGCAGAAAGCGCTTGTGTTGCCTTCTGAAGTATCCAGTTCCCACGTTTGATGGACCATGGCAGCAAGGCTCGGGTCAAATTAAAAGGCAGTGGTAATACATATGAGAGACGGCTTTGTGATGTTGTCTGCACAGGTGAACTCGGCATGGCAGCCAAAATAAAACTGTTTTATTGCACCGGAGGGAACACGAGAAGGAGGATCGCGAGCCAAAGGGTAAACTGGATAATTGAATCATCTGTGTGTTGTTCTATCACTCAAGGTCCAACTCCCTGCTGATAACCCTTTGCCCAAAGACCAAAATATTTATACTTGCTATAATGTTGCCACTCATTCGCACCTCTTATCTGATAAAAAGGATCCCTTTTCAGCTGCTCTTGCCTGCTATTTAAAACCATAATAAGCACAGACTACTGTTTCCTA